CTTAACATCAACGAAAATTCAACATGGCGTCACAGGCAACAAATAAAAATTTCAACATCAATTACGTTAAGACAAAAATGCAACTTTTTAATATGTCAAAATAGGAGAAAGCTTAAGTAACAGCACATGTAAATAAACTGTTGAACCTAAAACGAACAGTACATTCTAAATTGTTAAAGAAAATAATACAATAATAAACTTGCACATAAATTATGTGATTAACGTTATACAATCTTATTTATTGCAACAACTTAAACTGTTATGGCACTTTGAATTGCACAAAGTTCCTTGCTTTTACAACTGCATTTATTTGTGGAACACTTCTTTTTGCAATGACAACGTGTATAGCCTTGCCTTCCACTTTTTGAATTAGCTGCAGCTGCTTCTCTGTGATATTTCTTGAGAAGAAATCTCATCTATGGAAAGTAACTTTTCTTTACAAATTACGAACTCATTATGGGTATAAAGCTGCTTGAGGGTACCATTTTTGTTTGTTAATTTATAAAAGTTGGAGTCTTCTATTCCAACAACAACCGCCAACACATTTCGGGCATCTGTATGGCCACAATCGACATCAGGGACCTGTATTTGTACAGTATCACCAATTTAAACAGAAGGAAATGGCGAAGAATTTGGCGACAGACTGTCGCCTTCTGTCAACATCGGCTTCTTGGGTGTCATTTTGACCTCCACCAAAGCTTATCTGTGCTTGTTGACATACACCGGTGATTGTTCAAATGTATAATAATATAACCAAATATTTGGTCTTTCACCAACGTATTTTGTATGTGTCGACATTCACCAGAGAATATCGACATTCTCTAATTTTGGTCTTTTACAGTAACATATACATAACACATAAAAGAATAATAAGTCTTCAAATAAAATTAACTATTTCAAAACTATTCAAAATATCAAATATAATTAGTGATCAGTGACCATTTGTAAATAGATCTGTAGAAAAACTTTTTTAATATAATTTTTGTTTATTATTTCAGTGAATTTAGATTCAAAATTANTATCGAGCGAGATCCTTCCACGACAAAGCAAATAAAAAATGGCGCTGCAAACTAATGTAATGTCGTATGGTGAGTTTTTGTTCGTATCATGGAGCAAAAATATGTTTGAATTTCATGTTGTATCCTGAAAATTTCGTATGCTGGGGTGTTCGTATCCTGAGGTACCACTGTACAATATTTCAAAAATTAAGTCAAATGGTATTGAGAATATAATTCTGTTTTATGAGGTAATACTCAATGATAATTTTAACATTAATATAAATACAAACCTCCTTAATTCTATAACTGTGGGATCTGGCCATTTACAGAAAGTTACTTCTAAGACTTCTAAGGAGATTCTGTATATATGTATATGTATGTATATATATATACAGAATCAGTATTATAAAAGTATTACTTGCAGTATTATAAAAGGTAGAATCAAGCTTAATTCCAGAAATAATACAACCATTAGTGCTTCCAAACAAGGTTTTATATAATATAAAGCCCAAATCCAACAATAATTCTTGTAGTATATGTAGGTGAGATTACATCAAAACTCAGATCATCATGATCTTCTGTCTTTATGATCATCTGTGTCTTCAAGGTTTGCAATGTCATCAGGTACATCAGAGTCAGAGGAAGTGAAGAAAGTGGATTTTCTACATTGGAATGAGTCTTGATAGTCTTATTAACAAACTTTTTCACCCACTGTTGCAATTTTGCTTGCTTCTGGTACTTTGGATTTTTGTTAATTAATTCTCTTTGAATCAAATAAACAAATATAACAGATTTACAAACTAGTGGCAGCAGATCCAAAACATGCTAGATCATGGAAGTTGATGGATGACAGAATACCAGATTAGAGATTTAATGTATATTAATTTTCTACTATAGATATTGCATTTATGTACTTGGAAAAATATAATTATGTATGGATCTTTAATTGTTAGAGATAATACTTTAAACCAATGCTGCTCAAACTAGTCATGTTTAAGTAGAACTTATTTGAACAATTTATAATGAGATTTCAGTTAAAATTTCAAAATTTTATATACAGGTATACCTCGACTTACATCGTTTTGAGTTACATCATTCCCGATTATACGTTGTTTGTGAAAAAAGTATATGGAAAAATAAAAATCAAGTTTAAATCATTTTATTCGACTTTACGTCTGTCCACCACAAATATTGAAGTCATAATATCACTAGAAAAGCGTTTAAAGCACATAAAATCATATTAAAATATATACATTTACAAGTATGTACTGTATTTACAGTACATGCATTTGTAAATTTAGATTACTTTTTTCTGTACTATATTAAAAACTAAAATATATTTGTTTGCAAGCTTAAAATAGATCCTTATTAACCATATATTATTAAAAATGCATTAATTAATAAAATACAGAACCGGAAATGGTAATTTATGGTTTAGCCTAGTGACAAGTAGATTCGGAGACAAGTAAATTCAACTTACGTCTCCTCTCCTGGAACCAATTACCGACATAAGGCAAGGTATACCTGTATTGCATTAATAAAATTATTTAAAACATCTTTAAAAGTCTTTTAAAAACATTTTTTGTTATTATACTTGTATCCACCTTGGACATTCTGACAATATTATTTTATAATTTTCATTTTTATTATTTAAACATTAATGCCAGCAGTGAACTGACAATTGAAATTATCCCAGGAAGTTGCTTGAACCAGGCTCCAAACTATTTTTTCAAAATGATTAGAACCAATTTTGTTGTATTTTTCTTACTAATTTGATTTAAAAATTTAAAAAACTACATTTAAACTTTATCTCTCCATTTCATAATTGTTTTTATTTAATTCCACAAAAATGACCTGTGAAGGATTGGAATGAAAAAATGTGTGTGTGTAATCAATGTGTAAAGACAATCATCTTTATATGTTTAACATTTCAGCTGATGGAATTCTTTTTCTCATAATTTATCTCAAAATTTTAAAATGATACAATAAATAAATAATTTATAAAATTTTAAATTCATAAAAAATATGAATATATTTTTTTAAATTTTATTTTTGGCTTTTTCTGTCTTATGAGTACTACAAGAATCTTTTTTAATGCCCATTGTGAGTTAAATCTGGCTCATGATGGGGTAGACCAGATAGTGAGGAACAGAGCCTGACCTATGCATGATACACGATGCATAATGGATTTGCACTCACAAAAAATTCTAGGGAGTTTTAACCACCCAAATTCACTCTTGGGTTCATCAGAGCAATACGTTGACACCTTAACCGCCTCAGCTATTGGGCCATCAATATTAACAATAGGAACACACACTAAAACTTTTATGATGTTGATCTTTGTTTAGACTATTCAACTGTTGCTAGATTTGTTTCAATGTAATAAATATTTATTTATAAATCACAGGCTAGTTATTTAATGGATGTAATTATTTATTTACATAGAAGAAATTAAGAAATTATATTAACATATTAAATTGTAGTAAACATATTTTTTTAACTATTTAGCTTATGTAAAGTTTTCAAATTTTAAATATATATATATATTTTAGAAAAGATAAAAAAAAAAATTAGTGTTGTTTTATATATATATTTTTAATTAGGGTGCATTAAATTGGCCTAATTCTTTTCATATCTGTGGAGATAATCATCCCTTAGCTTGGTCTAGAACACTGCAGAATGTTCAAGCTGTAAACAGAAAATTAGCCAATGAAAACAATAGGTAAGAATTTATTCAATTAAGTAATAAATTAGAAAGTGCCTTTACGTATTGAAAGCTTAAATGAATATATTTATGGTAATTACAACAAAATGTTATTTTTACATATGGATCATAATTTATTAAATTTATAAGCTCTATGTCGGCTTTTCTTTTTCACTAGACTTATTACACCATCATTCAGAAATCTAGTGAAAAAGAAAAGCTGACATAGAGCTTATAAATTTAATCCAAGACTAGACAAGAAGCATATTATAGAATTCATAATTTATTGTTATAATACTATTATCTATTACCATATATTGTGTGAAATAGAGTAAAATATGAATGTATACATTAAATTTAGGAAATGTAGAAAAGATCTGACAAATAAAAAATTTTCATTTTCATTCCTGATCTTACATTTAATTCAAGAAAGTTACATCAAGAAGAGTAAGGTTGGTTGATTGGTTTGTTGTGGCAGTACAACACATGGGCAATCTGCCAAGGGTGAATTTGTTTCAGGATACTTTTCTATGGGGAACTGGTTCTATTTAGATGCTAGATATGTGAAAAGAACCCAGAAAACTCCACATGGTCAGTCTGCTGGTCAGGCAATCAGTAAATTAAAGTAAAAAGTGTATTTAAAATTTATTCCTTTTATCTATATTAAAATCAATGGTGAAAAAATAAAACTGAATATTTTACATATTAGTTGAGAAAAAGTAAAAGCAAAACACTCATTTAAAAAATTGAACATCAATATTTTTATTTTGAAATAATTTCCATCATAGCTATCTTCTCTCAATGAACTGTAAATTTATATACTTTTTCCTAAAAAAGTTTTTTTATTTTTATAATTTAAATAAATTTGCTATCAATACCTCTTATTTTTGACTATATATGTGACTGTCTAGCAATAAGGCATTGATAATTAGATGATGAGATATTTAGAGAATGAGATGAGAGTGAGATGAAAATTTGTCCATCAAGTTCTCAGAGAGTCAGTCATTTACATCATATGAGAAAGGTGTTATGTTATCTTGATATCAAAATAAAATTGAATATACAAAAAAAAAATTATTGCAAGTCACTCTCCAGGCATTTTATTAACATGATTTACATTAATTGGCAGCATCTCTACAAACTAATCTTTTTACTGATAAATGAAAATATGCAATGATGAATTGATTTTGACTCCATCTAGAAGTCATTTTCAAAATTCAACTTTTAACTCCCTGTAGCAGTTGATAATATATTTGCATAAATTCTCACTATGCCAACTGTTTTTCTTTTACAATTCCTGCATAAGTTTTTTTACAGTGGTCCCTTCAAAAACTTCTTAACAGAGTTGTATCATGAACTCAGTGCAATTCTACCAAACAGGCCTCACTTTTAATTGTTTAGCAAATGGATAGATTGTAAAAGGATATCACTAGGCATCTATCAGAATCTTTTCATGATGAATTACAAGATGTTAAAGATTCATTGGATGATAACAATGCTTTTACTTTTAGCAGATAGTGGATGAAACCAGGGCTTCTCAAAAGTATTGCCTGGGGTGAAAATGGAGAAGAAAGATGATTTAGAGGAAAAGACTGAAGGTAAAATTACAAAGAAGGATAGGAAAGGGGATGAAATGGAAGTCTAAAGGGTGCCTGTATCACTTTTATTTAAAACAAAATTAAAAATTTACATTTAGTTGTGGAACAGTAGTAAGGAATTACAGAAGCACCCTAAATGATTGGCATGCAAACATAACATATTTACAACACCCATTGTACTTGCAATGGGAGAAGCGACAAAACTGAGATAATTTAGCATTCCTTTTAAAAAAGCCATTTTTTAAAAATCATTTATCAATATCTCATTTAAAAATGACACATTTCTTTATGAAACAGACAAACAAATTGATAGTTTTATAATGTGGAACTGATATAAATTTATACAGAATTTGTTTGCTCTGTTTATAGACTGTACAAATGCAAATGAATGATTTGTCATTTATATGAAATTTTTCCACTATATTTTAGCATTTTTTATTTGAATTTGATTCACTGGCAGTTCTTAATTTATCATCGCTAATGATGATCTATTATTCTTCATGGAAACATCTTCAAGTGTTTTATCATTCAATGAAAATTTCTTAAACCATTTTTAGATACTACATTTACTATAGTCTCTCTAAATGTATGTATATTGTTTAGATTTATGTTTATGTTATATTGTTCTGAATTAATTCATATTTCATAGCTATGAACTGAGTTTATCACAATTACTTTTTGAAGTACAAATATTGCAAACTCAGTTGATAATATCATCTGTAATAGATTGTACAGTACATAAATTGTGTACAAATGTTAATTATGCAAAATTACACAAAATTTGATAACTTGATCAAAACTTGATATGAAATGCACATTAAAATCTTATATTTTGTATGATTTTAATGGTCTACTCAGTGTCAAAATATTACATTTAGTATACTAAAAATACTGGAGTTCTATAAATTGTTTCTATCAATTACATTAGAAAATAAAGTTTCAGTAATCAATATAGAATATATAGATTTTCTCTTATATTGGTGGTTCTCAAATTATGGTCCTAGGATTATTAATGGTTTGCAAACATGTGCCAAATGGCTCTGCACACTGATTGCTAGTCATTTTTCCAAAATGAAATTCCATGCTGTTTAAGCAGAAGAGAAAATATATTTATGCATTACTTATGTATGTTAGGCTACCAGATAGACAAAATATTATGGTATAGATTTAAGAGAGATTTATGGGATAGGAAGTGGACGAAGGTTTAGATGGTCCATTGTTCATCTGTGACTTAGTATAAGTAGTCTGTGGATCAAATAACTTTGAGAACCACTGTTTTATATTATGTTGTAAGTTACATTTTTACAGACATATAAAACTATTTTTAATAATGTTTTTTCTAGTATTCGATTAGATATATTTCAATGGGATGCCTGTTCACTTCCATTAAGAAATAGTTCTGTAGATGTATTTGTTACTGATTTGGTGAGTAAATTTTCTTAAATGGTTTTACAGATTAGCATTTAATATTGTTATGTGAGAAATTATGTTAAACTGCTTTCTTCTTATTTGATATTTTTATTATTAGAAATAATTAAAAAATACTAATTTTTTCATAGCCTTTCGGAAAAAGGATGGGATCTAAATTTGATAATCGCAAATTATATCCAAGTTTACTTAATGAAATGGCAAGAGTCTGTAAAAATAAAAATGGTCGTGCTGTACTTTTAACTCAAGATAAAAAGACCATGTCACAGGTAATATTCAGATTCAGTTTAAAATATAGTCAAACTTCAATTTAACATCACCATTTTTTCACCTCTGAAATTGACACTAAATGGAATATGGCCCTAAACTGGAAAATTCCAAATAATAAGAATTATATATAATTAAGAAGTTTACATAGTAATTTGAGAGTTTTAAAGTCGTGAAATTTAGTGATAACAATGTCATTTGCAGTGCAAAAACATACTTTTAGTAGTTCACAGATATTGAAGGATTCCTTGTTTAATATTTATGGGGAAGATGTGTTTGCCAGTATTCATTGGCACTGTATGAGAGCAGCTCTAATGAATACTGACAGTAGTATCAGAGACTATTTCAGAGGATGTTATATTTAAATTTGATTGTATTTCATAAAATATTTATAGTTATTTTTATCATTTTTAAACTGTTTTTGTTATTATATATGCTACTGTGAATGACCGATATCTGGCGAATGTCAACGTTCTCCGGTGAATGTCAGTATTCACACAGTCGTTTCGTGTATGTACAAAATATTTGCTAAATATCATTATTTCTCACTTACACCGGCAAATGTCAACATTCAGCATGCACTGATGGTGAATGTTGAATAAAAGTATTTTTATTACGTTAACCTGTCCTACGTTGTTCCTGAAAATATTCGTGTTGACCTCATTGACCTGCGGGGGCGATCCTGAATATATTCGTGTTTACATTGGAATACTTTTTGATACTAGATGTAGCTATGCATGATGATTTTTATATTAAAACGAACTTTTAAAATATAATTTTTTTTGTTTTTATATTATTCAATATATTTATTTTGTTTGTGAAACATAAAAAAATAATTTTTTATGATAAAGTAAACACGATTATTATTTTAAAAAAAAATTAGGCTTAACATCAACGAAAATTCAACATGGCGTCACAGGCAACAAATAAAAATTTCAACATCAATTACGTTAAGACAAAAATGCAACTTTTTAATATGTCAAAATAGGAGAAAGCTTAAGTAACAGCACATGTAAATAAACTGTTGAACCTAAAACGAACAGTACATTCTAAATCGTTAAAGAAAATAATACAATAATAAACTTGCACATAAATTATGTGATTAACGTTATACAATCTTATTTATTGCAACAACTTAAACTGTTATGGCACTTTGAATTGCACAAAGTTCCTTGCTTTTACAACTGCATTTATTTGTGGAACACTTCTTTTTGCAATGACAACGTGTATAGCCTTGCCCTCCACTTTTTGAATTAGCTGCAGCTGCTTCTCTGTGATATTTCTTGAGAAGAAATCTCATCTATGGAAAGTAACTTTTCTTTACAAATTACGAACTCATTATGGGTATAAAGCTGCTTGAGGGTACCATTTTTGTTTGTTAATTTATAAAAGTTGGAGTCTTCTATTCCAACAACAACCGCCAACACATTTCGGGCATCTGTATGGCCACAATCGACATCAGGGACCTGTATTTGTACAGTATCACCAATTTAAACAGAAGGAAATGGCGAAGAATTTGGCGACAGACTGTCGCCTTCTGTCAACATCGGCTTCTTGGGTGTCATTTTGACCTCCACCAAAGCTTATCTGTGCTTGTTGACATACACCGGTGATTGTTCAAATGTATAATAATATAACCAAATATTTGGTCTTTCACCAACGTATTTTGTATGTGTCGACATTCACCAGAGAATATCGACATTCTCTAATTTTGGTCTTTTACAGTAACATATACATAACACATAAAAGAATAATAAGTCTTCAAATAAAATTAACTATTTCAAAACTATTCAAAATATCAAATATAATTAGTGATCAGTGACCATTTGTAAATAGATCTGTAGAAAAACTTTTTTAATATAATTTTTGTTTATTATTTCAGTGAATTTAGATTCAAAATTATTCAAAAAATTTGTATTTTAAGTGAAATATTTTTATACCATTAATTAATATTAATATACATATACTTATATAGAATAGTTTTCACAGATATATAAGTATGAATGATTATAATAAAATATTTTAAAATTTACATTTCTTGTAAATATTATTATATATTATTTTTTGTTTTATCATTACAAGAAATATATGAGATACAGTTTTTACATAAAATTGATTTTAAAATGCTTAAATAAATTACATGAATATTGATCTGATTGATTTTGTCATATTTGTGTATGTCTGTTATTTAATTTTCAGTTATTTATTTATGGATTAAATAATTTTACCTATTAATTTTTAAAACTTAATTGAAGACATAAAAATAATATGATAATAAACACGTACCTTGAACCTGTTACCGGTGTGGGTGATATTACAGATAAATATCGCAAACGTTTTTGAACATTAATAGTTCTTCCTCAGGCAATATAAAAGAAAAAAAAACGATGGAATGCAGAACAAAATAGAACATGAATATTTAAAATAGAATCGAATTTATGTCTTGTGTAAAATCGTTGGATTGGACATGCGCATTCTATGCAGATAGTCGGTGATTAAAGATCAGTGTCCATGAGAACCTGTCATGCAACAGAATAATATGATAAACTTTCTTAACTGTAATGTATCATGATTTGATAAAAAAAAAAATTATAAACCATAAATAACTGCTAATTCACACTCACTATGAGACAAAAATTTTATTGTTAGTGCTGTTGAGATGGTTACCAAAATAAAAATGTAACTGATTATTACACTTACAAGTTAAATTACATAAATACTTAACATCATTTATTAAGTAAACATCTTATTTTTAATAACAAGCTAAAATAAATCATACACAAAATCTTATAATCATTATTTTTATTGTTTATTACTAATAAGCATTAAATGATGATTATATTTTGTAAGTAACAAAGCCTCAAGCCTATTTCATGACATTCTCTTCTTTGTACCAATATCTGTCTGTCATTGCTGAAACAATGGTTAACAGGTGCAGAAGATGATAATATTGTGCTGTATCTTAAAAATATTGATTTTGTAATAAGATAGCTGTTCAAAAGATGAATTTGTGATATTTATCTTGTAAATAAGTAAAAATTTCCATTCAATTTATTGTTGATATCACATGTTGGAAGAATTTTCTTGCTGGAGCAGATTAATCACTCTACAGACAACTTATCATCTCTTTTGACCACATTAAATAATTCTGTGATTTTAAAGAGGAAGGATATGTTTTTAGGTAATTCTATTTGGCTAGATTCTTATGTATTTGCTCTTGTATTACCTTCTGAGATTTCCTTCATCTTGCATATTTTGTAACTTCAGCATCAATGTAGTTTACATATACTAACAAGGAGAAGGCCAGACATTTGCATCTCTGATTCAAATGAAACTTGGTGAGCATGTAGCCCTAAACACAAATAGTTATTCAAATAATAGTCCCACTTTTCAAGTGTTTCCAAAAAGCAAACTTCCGAAAATTGCATGTTTAGCTTATGTCTGGAAGTTTTACCAATTATAAGAATGGCCATTACTGAGTGGATAAGGTTCTGGATGCTAGAACTAACAATATTGGTTTGATTCTTTGTGACTTCCAGACTATTCAATGTCTGGAGCTTATTCACTTGTGATGTCATAGTATGTAACCACAAGCAAAAATGTCTGAAAATTAATATGAAAAAATAAAAATCTTATTCAATGGCATAACAAGAGTTAAATCTACAGAAACTTCATTTTTGCTAAACATGAAATGATGATGTGATTTTTAATCTCATTTTATAAGCTTTAAATGTGAGGAATAATAATGCTAATGATACAGTAAAATAATAAAATAACTACGTTACACATTAAAAAGAAAAAAACTAAAGTTGCACTCAACTACTGTTATTCCTATGATAGGTAGAACTTTCTGACTTATAAGCTAAACACTCAATTTTCAGAGGCCTGTTTTTCAGAAATGCTTGAGAAATGGGTCCTATTACTTGGACAAGGAACTATGTGTTTAGGGCTACATGATCAACAAGTTTCATTTGAATCGAAGATCCAAACGCCTGGCCATCTCCTTGTAAGTAGTAACCAGTAAGGATGGGCAGTAATGCATGTATGCTTTATATTCTAACATAACTTGATACTTCTGACATCAGGACAGTAGATCAGACAAACTGATTTTGGGGTTTGAAAAGGATAAATAGTGAATGGAAATACTGGAAAACAGAGTAATGGCAATAAAAAAAGAAAAAATAATCACTTATAGATATTGTAAACAGTAAATATTGAAAGAGGAAGCAGTTACATTAAAATTCATAAAAAATAAAACTTAAAAAGTTTGTTAATTGCTAATGTTATGGCCAGTTTTTTTTAACAAAGCAACTAACAAAACAGTTAAAAGTTACACATACAAGCTACTAGAGAGCGAATTTAATTGCTTACAATAAAAATAACTAGTTACAGTAATTAGTTACAATGTATATATAGTACATTGTAGGGTCCCTCCCTGTGTGTTCCTCGCATTAAGTGGAAATTTGCATAAAATAACAAACTCCATTAGTTATTAAATATTTCCTATAGTAACAAATCTGTCACACATTGTTTTATATGAATAAAGACAAATAATCACTATATAGTAGAGTCCCAGAAACTTGACTTAATATGGATTGAAAATGTGACAAGTTATTAAAAATGATGAGACTTCCGTGTTAACAGTAAAGTGAGAGAAAAGAGATTGTATTCAAATGCAGGTCAAATTTGACCCTCTTCATTGGTGAAAGCACATTGCCAACTGGAGTAGAATTCCACTAAATTAATGAATTTGTTTAACATGCAATGGTATAATGATGATGCTAGTCTAAATAACAAAATTTTTGTTAAGGTATGCAAATTTACATACACATTTACATACCATTAATGACTGTTTCTATTTGTAGTTAAATTTTATTTTGAAAAATATTGGCTATTCAGTGGATGCTTTTGATTTACAAGGGAACTGTCAGTGTGTCTTTTAATAAAAAATATTAGTAAAATTTAATTAATAATTACATTAAAAGTATACAAACTCTATATTAAATTTGTAATAATCACTAAAAGTGTTACAGTTAGTAGCAATCAAATCATACTATTTTATATTAGTTTAACACAAATATGCAAATTTTTAGTAATGAAAGTGTCGCAAAGGAAGACCATGATATTACATTTACAGAGAAGAATAAGGAATAAACTCAAATAAATGTTACATGAAAGATTAGATTGCGGCAGTTGGCAACGCTGCATTTGACCACTTTAGTTCTGTAAAATAAACTCATGACAACAACCATTGTCTGTCCTGGAATCATTCATTCAACACGACAATGATATTATTTGCAGATGTAATCAGATTGATCGGCATAACCAATTTCCTTTTCAAGAGGTATGCCTTAGTGGTCTCCTCACTAGTGAACTGGACGTGACCTCCATGACATAGTAATCTGGACTAGGTGATTCCAGCAATGACAGGAATCCAGGTAGGCTTCCTTTTTTTCTCTCCACACTGGTCAAGCAGCCAAACTAACAATTAGTTCGGTTGCTTGACCAGTATGGAGAGATCAGGTTTCGAAATGGTCAGCGTCACTGGGATCACTTGGTGATCCCAGTGACGCCTCTTGAGAAGTGATACCCTAGTGATACCTCTTGAGAAGGAAATCAGTTATGTTGATCAATCTGATTACGTCTACGAATAGTGTTGTTGTGTCAAATGAATGATTCCTGGACAGATGATGGAGTCCAATGGTCATTGTCATGAGTTTATTTTACAGAACTATATACAAGAGTTACAATTACATCGACCGTGGAAACAGTGGTTGGAGTGCACAATGAAGTGAGCAAGCAGACATATTTATTGAACACATTGTGTACAATGTATCTGGGTGCCACAACAGGTATAACCCAGGGAGCAAGCAGACAGAAGTGCGTCCACCAAAAAGTAGAGTTAGCAATGGTCTGACATCATGTAGGTTGGAGACAGTGGTCAAATGTCATGTTGCCAACTGCCACAATCTAATCTTTCGTATAACATTTATTTGAGTTTATTCCTTATTCTATTCTGTAAATGTAATATCATCGTCTTCCTCCGCAACCCTTTCACTACAAAAAATTTACATATTTGTGTTAAACTATTATAAAATAGTGTGACATTTGATTGCTATCAATATTAACTCTGATTAACACTTTTAGTGAATATTACAAATTTAATACAGAGTTTGTATACTTTTAACATAACTATTAACTAAATTTTATTAATATTTATTAAAAGACACTCTGACAGTTCCTATGTTAGTGACATTCACATTGTGGCATTTTGCAGTGGCACCTTGGAAAAAGGTGTTATATTCTTTGTTAATATGTGGAATTGATGCTGTAATCAAGAGTTGCCAGTGAAGAATGATAACTTATTTGATCCTAGGGTTAAGTTATAGATATAAAAATTAGATTACATATATTTTGTTTTTGAATGACATGACGAGTTTTACAGAATGTCAAGTTATTGAGAGTCCAGTTTATGAGATTCTACTGTATTAAAATAAATAACATACCATAAGTCATATAAATAAGTTTAAAAAATTTTGAAAGCAGACTTTTTTCTTTTCTCACTAAATCTAAAATTTTAATTTTTTCTTTGAAGTAGGAACTTTAGTACTTTTTCTCTGGTTTGTCAGAATTACCAACATCTACTGCTACCCTTGCATTTTGGTGCCATATTTACAAAGTAATTATCATGAATGAAACAAAGAGAAGCATTACTACTACAGGGAAATGATGTGTTACAAGTGAGAACTCTGGACAAGACTAATACAAGTCATAGTGTTTAGTGCAAAACAAAGAAATAAGTCACAGTAGCACATTTTCCAGAATGAGAAAGAGTGTGACTGAGCAGGATGCTGTGAGCCTTAATGAATCTTAAAAAATGGTGCAGATTTAGTGCTTAATTATGCATTTTTATTTATGTATTTTTCATTATTTTTATCACAAACCTGAAACTGCTTATATTGAATGTCTAGTCCTACTGGAGTTAGTTTCTAACTCTTCATTTGAGCTTGTAATTATAATTTATAAATTTTATTAATATTCCAAATCAAAATATCTATGAATTAAGAAAATAAAGGTTATCACTTATATTATTTTTATCTTNATAGAGCTTATAAATTTAATCCAAGACTAGACAAGAAGCATATTATAGAATTCATAATTTATTGTTATAATACTATTATCTATTACCATATATTGTGTGAAATAGAGTAAAATATGAATGTATACATTAAATTTAGGAAATGTAGAAAAGATCTGACAAATAAAAAATTTTCATTTTCATTCCTGATCTTACATTTAATTCAAGAAAGTTACATCAAGAAGAGTAAGGTTGGTTGATTGGTTTGTTGTGGCAGTACAACACATGGGCAATCTGCCAAGGGTGAATTTGTTTCAGGATACTTTTCTATGGGGAACTGGTTCTATTTAGATGCTAGATATGTGAAAAGAACCCAGAAAACTCCACATGGTCAGTCTGCTGGTCAGGCAATCAGTAAATTAAAGTAAAAAGTGTATTTAAAATTTATTCCTTTTATCTATATTAAAATCAATGGTGAAAAAATAAAACTGAATATTTTACATATTAGTTGAGAAAAAGTAAAAGCAAAACACTCATTAAAAAAATTGAACATCAATATTTTTATTTTGAAATAATTTCCATCATAGCTATCTTCTCTCAATGAACTGTAAATTTATATACTTTTTCCTAAAAAAGTTTTTTTATTTTTATAATTTAAATAAATTTGCTATCAATACCTCTTATTTTTGACTATATATGTGACTGTCTAGCAATAAGGCATTGATAATTAGATGATGAGATATTTAGAGAATGAGATGAGAGTGAGATGAAAATTTGTCCATCAAGTTCTCAGAGAGTCAGTCATTTACATCATATGAGAAAGGTGTTATGTTATCTTGATATCAAAATAAAATTGAATATACAAAAAAAAAATTATTGCAAGTCACTCTCCAGGCATTTTATTAACATGATTTACATTAATTGGCAGCATCTCTACAAACTAATCTTTTTACTGATAAATGAAAATATGCAATGATGAATTGATTTTGACTCCATCTAGAAGTCATTTTCAAAATTCAACTTTTAACTCCCTGTAGCAGTTGATAATATATTTGCATAAATTCTCACTATGCCAACTGTTTTTCTTTTACAATTCCTGCATAAGTTTTTTTACAGTGGTCCCTTCAAAAACTTCTTAACAGAGTTGTATCATGAACTCAGTGCAATTCTACCAAACAGGCCTCACTTTTAATTGTTTAGCAAATGGATAGATTGTAAAAGGATATCACTAGGCATCTATCAGAATCTTTTCATGATGAATTACAAGATGTTAAAGATTCATTGGATGATAACAATGCTTTTACTTTTAGCAGATAGTGGATGAAACCAGGGCTTCTCAAAAGTATTGCCTGGGGTGAAAATGGAGAAGAAAGATGATTTAGAGGAAAAGACTGAAGGTAAAATTACAAAGAAGGATAGGAAAGGGGATGAAATGGAAGTCTAAAGGGTGCCTGTATCACTTTTATTTAAAACAAAATTAAAAATTTACATTTAGTTGTGGAACAGTAGTAAGGAATTACAGAAGCACCCTAAATGATTGGCATGCAAACATAACATATTTACAACACCCATTGTACTTGCAATGGGAGAAGCGACAAAACTGAGATAATTTAGCATTCCTTTTAAAAAAGCCATTTTTTAAAAATCATTTATCAATATCTCATTTAAAAATGACACATTTCTTTATGAAACAGACAAACAAATTGATAGTTTTATAATGTGGAACTGATATAAATTTATACAGAATTTGTTTGCTCTGTTTATAGACTGTACAAATGCAAATGAATGATTTGTCATTTATATGAAATTTTTCCACTATATTTTAGCATTTTTTATTTGAATTTGATTCACTGGCAGTTCTTAATTTATCATCACTAATGATGATCTATTATTCTTCATGGAAACATCTTCAAGTGTTTTATCATTCAATGAAAATTTCTTAAACCATTTTTAGATACTACATTTACTATAGTCTCTCTAAATGTATGTATATTGTTTAGATTTATGTTTATGTTATATTGTTCTGAATTAATTCATATTTCATAGCTATGAACTGAGTTTATCACAATTACTTTTTGAAGTACAAATATTGCAAACTCAGTTGATAATATCATCTGTAATAGATTGTACAGTACATAAATTGTGTACAAATGTTAATTATGCAAAATTACACAAAATTTGATAACTTGATCAAAACTTGATATGAAATGCACATTAAAATCTTATATTTTGTATGATTTTAATGGTCTACTCAGTGTCAAAATATTACATTTAGTATACTAAAAATACTGGAGTTCTATAAATTGTTTCTATCAATTACATTAGAAAATAAAGTTTCAGTAATCAATATAGAATATATAGATTTTCTCTTATATTGGTGGTTCTCAAATTATGGTCCTAGGATTATTAATGGTTTGCAAACATGTGCCAAATGGCTCTGCACACTGATTGCTAGTCATTTTTCCAAAATGAAATTCCATGCTGTTTAAGCAGAAGAGAAAATATATTTATGCATTACTTATGTATGTTAGGCTACCAGATAGACAAAATATTATGGTATAGATTTAAGAGAGATTTATGGGATAGGAAGTGGACGAAGGTTTAGATGGTCCATTGTTCATCTGTGACTTAGTATAAGTAGTCTGTGGATCAAATAACTTTGAGAACCACTGTTTTATATTATGTTGTAAGTTACATTTTTACAGACATATAAAACTATTTTTAATAATGTTTTTTCTAGTATTCGATTAGATATATTTCAATGGGATGCCTGTTCACTTCCATTAAGAAATAGTTCTGTAGATGTATTTGTTACTGATTTGGTGAGTAAATTTTCTTAAATGGTTTTACAGATTAGCATTTAATATTGTTATGTGAGAAATTATGTTAAACTGCTTTCTTCTTATTTGATATTTTTATTATTAGAAATAATTAAAAAATACTAATTTTTTCATAGCCTTTCGGAAAAAGGATGGGATCTAAATTTGATAATCGCAAATTATATCCAAGTTTACTTAATGAAATGGCAAGAGTCTGTAAAAATAAAAATGGTCGTGCTGTACTTTTAACTCAAGATAAAAAGACCATGTCACAGGTAATATTCAGATTCAGTTTAAAATATAGTCAAACTTCAATTTAACATCACCATTTTTTCACCTCTGAAATTGACACTAAATGGAATATGGCCCTAAACTGGAAAATTCCAAATAATAAGAATTATATATAATTAAGAAGTTTACATAGTAATTTGAGAGTTTTAAAGTCGTGAAATTTAGTGATAACAATGTCATTTGCAGTGCAAAAACATACTTTTAGTAGTTCACAGATATTGAAGGATTCCTTGTTTAATATTTATGGGGAAGATGTGTTTGCCAGTATTCATTGGCACTGTATGAGAGCAGCTCTAATGAATACTGACAGTAGTATCAGAGACTATTTCAGAGGATGTTATATTTAAATTTGATTGTATTTCATAAAATATTTATAGTTATTTTTATCATTTTTAAACTGTTTTTGTTATTATATATGCTACTGTGAATGACCGATATCTGGCGAATGTCAACATTCTCCGGTGAATGTCAGTATTCACACAGTCGTTTCGTGTATGTACAAAATATTTGCTAAATATCATTATTTCTCACTTACACCGGCAAATGTCAACATTCAGCATGCACTGATGGTGAATGTTGAATAAAAGTATTTTTATTACGTTAACCTGTCCTACGTTGTTCCTGAAAATATTCGTGTTGACCTCATTGACCTGCGGGGGCGATCCTGAATATATTCGTGTTTACATTGGAATACTTTTTGATACTAGATGTAGCTATGCATGATGATTTTTATATTAAAACGAACTTTTAAAATATAATTTTTTTTGTTTTTATATTATTCAATATATTTATTTTGTTTGTGAAACATAAAAAAATAATTTTTTATGATAAAGTAAACACGATTATTATTTTAAAAAAAAATTAGGCTTAACATCAACGAAAATTCAACATGGCGTCACAGGCAACAAATAAAAATTTCAACATCAATTACGTTAAGACAAAAATGCAACTTTTTAATATGTCAAAATAGGAGAAAGCTTAAGTAACAGCACATGTAAATAAACTGTTGAACCTAAAACGAACAGTACATTCTAAATTGTTAAAGAAAATAATACAATAATAAACTTGCACATAAATTATGTGATTAACGTTATACAATCTTATTTATTGCAACAACTTAAACTGTTATGGCACTTTGAATTGCACAAAGTTCCTTGCTTTTACAACTGCATTTATTTGTGGAACACTTCTTTTTGCAATGACAACGTGTATAGCCTTGCCCTCCACTTTTTGAATTAGCTGCAGCTGCTTCTCTGTGATATTTCTTGAGAAGAAATCTCATCTATGGAAAGTAACTTTTCTTTACAAATTACGAACTCATTATGGGTATAAAGCTGCTTGAGGGTACCATTTTTGTTTGTTAATTTATAAAAGTTGGAGTCTTCTATTCCAACAACAACCGCCAACACATTTCGGGCATCTGTATGGCCACAATCGACATCAGGGACCTGTATTTGTACAGTATCACCAATTTAAACAGAAGGAAATGGCGAAGAATTTGGCGACAGACTGTCGCCTTCTGTCAACATCGGCTTCTTGGGTGTCATTTTGACCTCCACCAAAGCTTATCTGTGCTTGTTGACATACACCGGTGATTGTTCAAATGTATAATAATATAACCAAATATTTGGTCTTTCACCAACGTATTTTGTATGTGTCGACATTCACCAGAGAATATCGACATTCTCTAATTTTGGTCTTTTACAGTAACATATACATAACACATAAAAGAATAATAAGTCTTCAAATAAAATTAACTATTTCAAAACTATTCAAAATATCAAATATAATTAGTGATCAGTGACCATTTGTAAATAGATCTGTAGAAAAACTTTTTTAATATAATTTTTGTTTATTATTTCAGTGAATTTAGATTCAAAATTATTCAAAAAATTTGTATTTTAAGTGAAATATTTTTATACCATTAATTAATATTAATATACATATACTTATATAGAATAGTTTTCACAGATATATAAGTATGAATGATTATAATAAAATATTTTAAAATTTACATTTCTTGTAAATATTATTATATATTATTTTTTGTTTTATCATTACAAGAAATATATGAGATACAGTTTTTACATAAAATTGATTTTAAAATGCTTAAATAAATTACATGAATATTGATCTGATTGATTTTGTCATATTTGTGTATGTCTGTTATTTAATTTTCAGTTATTTATTTATGGATTAAATAATTTTACCTATTAATTTTTAAAACTTAATTGAAGACATAAAAATAATATGATAATAAACACGTACCTTGAACCTGTTACCGGTGTGGGTGATATTACAGATAAATATCGCAAACGTTTTTGAACATTAATAGTTCTTCCTCAGGCAATATAAAAGAAAAAAAAACGATGGAATGCAGAACAAAATAGAACATGAATATTTAAAATAGAATCGAATTTATGTCTTGTGTAAAATCGTTGGATTGGACATGCGCATTCTATGCAGATAGTCGGTGATTAAAGATCAGTGTCCATGAGAACCTGTCATGCAACAGAATAATATGATAAACTTTCTTAACTGTAATGTATCATGATTTGATAAAAAAAAAAATTATAAACCATAAATAACTGCTAATTCACGCTCACTATGAGACAAAAATTTTATTGTTAGTGCTGTTGAGATGGTTACCAAAATAAAAATGTAACTGATTATTACACTTACAAGTTAAATTACATAAATACTTAACATCATTTATTAAGTAAACATCTTATTTTTAATAACAAGCTAAAATAAATCATACACAAAATCTTATAATCATTATTTTTATTGTTTATTACTAATAAGCATTAAATGATGATTATATTTTGTAAGTAACAAAGCCTCAAGCCTATTTCATGACATTCTCTTCTTTGTACCAATATCTGTCTGTCATTGCTGAAACAATGGTTAACAGGTGCAGAAGATGATAATATTGTGCTGTATCTTAAAAATATTGATTTTGTAATAAGATAGCTGTTCAAAAGATGAATTTGTGATATTTATCTTGTAAATAAGTAAAAATTTCCATTCAATTTATTGTTGATATCACATGTTGGAAGAATTTTCTTGCTGGAGCAGATTAATCACTCTACAGACAACTTATCATCTCTTTTGACCACATTAAATAATTCTGTGATTTTAAAGAGGAAGGATATGTTTTTAGGTAATTCTATTTGGCTAGATTCTTATGTATTTGCTCTTGTATTACCTTCTGAGATTTCCTTCATCTTGCATATTTTGTAACTTCAGCATCAATGTAGTTTACATATACTAACAAGGAGAAGGCCAGACATTTGCATCTCTGATTCAAATGAAACTTGGTGAGCATGTAGCCCTAAACACAAATAGTTATTCAAATAATAGTCCCACTTTTCAAGTGTTTCCAAAAAGCAAACTTCCGAAAATTGCATGTTTAGCTTATGTCTGGAAGTTTTACCAATTATAAGAATGGCCATTACTGAGTGGATAAGGTTCTGGATGCTAGAACTAACAATATTGGTTTGATTCTTTGTGACTTCCAGACTATTCAATGTCTGGAGCTTATTCACTTGTGATGTCATAGTATGTAACCACAAGCAAAAATGTCTGAAAATTAATATGAAAAAATAAAAATCTTATTCAATGGCATAACAAGAGTTAAATCTACAGAAACTTCATTTTTGCTAAACATGAAATGATGATGTGATTTTTAATCTCATTTTATAAGCTTTAAATGTGAGGAATAATAATGCTAATGATACAGTAAAATAATAAAATAACTACGTTACACATTAAAAAGAAAAAAACTAAAGTTGCACTCAACTACTGTTATTCCTATGATAGGTAGAACTTTCTGACTTATAAGCTAAACACTCAATTTTCAGAGGCCTGTTTTTCAGAAATGCTTGAGAAATGGGTCCTATTACTTGGACAAGGAACTATGTGTTTAGGGCTACATGATCAACAAGTTTCATTTGAATCGAAGATCCAAACGCCTGGCCATCTCCTTGTAAGTAGTAACCAGTAAGGATGGGCAGTAATGCATGTATGCTTTATATTCTAACATAACTTGATACTTCTGACATCAGGACAGTAGATCAGACAAACTGATTTTGGGGTTTGAAAAGGATAAATAGTGAATGGAAATACTGGAAAACAGAGTAATGGCAATAAAAAAAGAAAAAATAATCACTTATAGATATTGTAAACAGTAAATATTGAAAGAGGAAGCAGTTACATTAAAATTCATAAAAAATAAAACTTAAAAAGTTTGTTAATTGCTAATGTTATGGCCAGTTTTTTTTAACAAAGCAACTAACAAAACAGTTAAAAGTTACACATACAAGCTACTAGAGAGCGAATTTAATTGCTTACAATAAAAATAACTAGTTACAGTAATTAGTTACAATGTATATATAGTACATTGTAGGGTCCCTCCCTGTGTGTTCCTCGCATTAAGTGGAAATTTGCATAAAATAACAAACTCCATTAGTTATTAAATATTTCCTATAGTAACAAATCTGTCACACATTGTTTTATATGAATAAAGACAAATAATCACTATATAGTAGAGTCCCAGAAACTTGACTTAATATGGATTGAAAATGTGACAAGTTATTAAAAATGATGAGACTTCCGTGTTAACAGTAAAGTGAGAGAAAAGAGATTGTATTCAAATGCAGGTCAAATTTGACCCTCTTCATTGGTGAAAGCACATTGCCAACTGGAGTAGAATTCCACTAAATTAATGAATTTGTTTAACATGCAATGGTATAATGATGATGCTAGTCTAAATAACAAAATTTTTGTTAAGGTATGCAAATTTACATACACATTTACATACCATTAATGACTGTTTCTATTTGTAGTTAAATTTTATTTTGAAAAATATTGGCTATTCAGTGGATGCTTTTGATTTACAAGGGAACTGTCAGTGTGTCTTTTAATAAAAAATATTAGTAAAATTTAATTAATAATTACATTAAAAGTATACAAACTCTATATTAAATTTGTAATAATCACTAAAAGTGTTACAGTTAGTAGCAATCAAATCATACTATTTTATATTAGTTTAACACAAATATGCAAATTTTTAGTAATGAAAGTGTCGCAAAGGAAGACCATGATATTACATTTACAGAGAAGAATAAGGAATAAACTCAAATAAATGTTACATGAAAGATTAGATTGCGGCAGTTGGCAACGCTGCATTTGACCACTTTAGTTCTGTAAAATAAACTCATGACAACAACCATTGTCTGTCCTGGAATCATTCATTCAACACGACAATGATATTATTTGCAGATGTAATCAGATTGATCGGCATAACCAATTTCCTTTTCAAGAGGTATGCCTTAGTGGTCTCCTCACTAGTGAACTGGACGTGACCTCCATGACATAGTAATCTGGACTAGGTGATTCCAGCAATGACAGGAATCCAGGTAGGCTTCCTTTTTTTCTCTCCACACTGGTCAAGCAGCCAAACTAACAATTAGTTCGGTTGCTTGACCAGTATGGAGAGATCAGGTTTCGAAATGGTCAGCGTCACTGGGATCACCTAGTGATCCCAGTGACGCCTCTTGAGAAGTGATACCCTAGTGATACCTCTTGAGAAGGAAATCAGTTATGTTGATCAATCTGATTACGTCTACGAATAGTGTTGTTGTGTCAAATGAATGATTCCTGGACAGATGATGGAGTCCAATGGTCATTGTCATGAGTTTATTTTACAGAACTATATACAAGAGTTACAATTACATCGACCGTGGAAACAGTGGTTGGAGTGCACAATGAAGTGAGCAAGCAGACATATTTATTGAACACATTGTGTACAATGTATCTGGGTGCCACAACAGGTATAACCCAGGGAGCAAGCAGACAGAAGTGCGTCCACCAAAAAGTAGAGTTAGCAATGGTCTGACATCATGTAGGTTGGAGACAGTGGTCAAATGTCATGTTGCCAACTGCCACAATCTAATCTTTCGTATAACATTTATTTGAGTTTATTCCTTATTCTATTCTGTAAATGTAATATCATCGTCTTCCTCCGCAACCCTTTCACTACAAAAAATTTACATATTTGTGTTAAACTATTATAAAATAGTGTGACATTTGATTGCTATCAATATTAACTCTGATTAACACTTTTAGTGAATATTACAAATTTAATACAGAGTTTGTATACTTTTAACATAACTATTAACTAAATTTTATTAATATTTATTAAAAGACACTCTGACAGTTCCTATGTTAGTGACATTCACATTGTGGCATTTTGCAGTGGCACCTTGGAAAAAGGTGTTATATTCTTTGTTAATATGTGGAATTGATGCTGTAATCAAGAGTTGCCAGTGAAGAATGATAACTTATTTGATCCTAGGGTTAAGTTATAGATATAAAAATTAGATTACATATATTTTGTTTTTGAATGACATGACGAGTTTTACAGAATGTCAAGTTATTGAGAGTCCAGTTTATGAGATTCTACTGTATTAAAATAAATAACATACCATAAGTCATATAAATAAGTTTAAAAAATTTTGAAAGCAGACTTTTTTCTTTTCTCACTAAATCTAAAATTTTAATTTTTTCTTTGAAGTAGGAACTTTAGTACTTTTTCTCTGGTTTGTCAGAATTACCAACATCTACTGCTACCCTTGCATTTTGGTGCCATATTTACAAAGTAATTATCATGAATGAAACAAAGAGAAGCATTACTACTACAGGGAAATGATGTGTTACAAGTGAGAACTCTGGACAAGACTAATACAAGTCATAGTGTTTAGTGCAAAACAAAGAAATAAGTCACAGTAGCACATTTTCCAGAATGAGAAAGAGTGTGACTGAGCAGGATGCTGTGAGCCTTAATGAATCTTAAAAAATGGTGCAGATTTAGTGCTTAATTATGCATTTTTATTTATGTATTTTTCATTATTTTTATCACAAACCTGAAACTGCTTATATTGAATGTCTAGTCCTACTGGAGTTAGTTTCTAACTCTTCATTTGAGCTTGTAATTATAATTTATAAATTTTATTAATATTCCAAATCAAAATATCTATGAATTAAGAAAATAAAGGTTATCACTTATATTATTTTTATCTTTTCAGTTCATAAATTTTCAAAAATGTTTTGATAAATATTTTAAGCAAGACAGAAACAATAAACATTTGTGGAAAAATTTATATTTAATCAATAGAAATCACACTTAAAAAGATTATTTTAAAAAATAGATACATTTTGAAATAATAAAGCTAAAAAAAATTGTAATAAATTAAACAATTAATTTAATATTACAGAAGTAATTGAAATTTTAAAAATTAAACTTCAAATCTTTTATAAAATATTTTGGTTATAATCTATTTCTTTTACTTACCCAGTGGTTAAAGAATATAACATAGGGAAAATATGGCAATCAGTCAAATTTTAATTTTCCAGATTTTTTACATTTCTCAATTTATTGACACTTCGGGAACCCAAAAAATGTAAAAAAGCCCTTAAATATTCTATGGGGGTGTGTCAGCATGTATTTTGCATTATATTTCAGAGCTTTTGAGATTTTAAAATTTGATAGGATTATTTTTATACATGAATGTTATTAAATTTTGGTAATTAAAGGTGAAGGATGAGATGGGGGTCACATGTCATATCTCAAGTGGGGTCAGACTTTAAAAATTTTACCTGTTGTTTGCATTTACAATGTTTTTAAAAACTCATCTTTATCCTCAAAATTAGGTCTTTTTCTTTCTTATAATAATTAATAATTTAAAAGTTATTCTTTAATAAATTCTCATAATAGTGCCACACAATATAAGCTAGAGTCTTAATGTTATTTAAACTTAAATACATTTTTTTAAATAGAGAAATATATCATAATTAACAAAATTACTCCTTTTAAGCTTTTGTCATTATTTAAATTTTATATTGTATCATAATTGAAAACTGTCCAAACTATCCAACTTCCTTCCTAGTCTGCTTAATTTTCTATCAATAACATCCATTTTTTAAGTTAGATGTTATATGTAGTTAAACTGAAATAAATATCATATTTTTTAAACTATAATATAGAGTCGATAAGTCTGGATATTATCTAAAATATATTTTGAAAGATAAACAAAAAGAAGAATTAAAAGCAAACAAACATCAATATCAGTCCATTTACGAAATTAATCTTCTTTTATTTGCAGACAATAGGAAGATATGGTCGATTTTGGAAACAGACTCGTGTTTTGGGCGTAAATATTGGAGGTCTGTCGGCATGCGTATATTTATTAAGCAGAACAACTGTGCCTTTCAAATCCCAAATTTATAACGTACCAACAAATGTCTCTTGTAATGAAAAGGAACAAGATTGAAATTTTAAAATTATTTTGAGTTTAATATGTTTTATTTAAAGTTTAAAAAATATACATAAATATATATGCAAAGCATGTATTGTATTTATATATCAAATAAAAACAAGTTTTGTTTNAAAACATTTAATTACAAATGTTTTCTTCTTATTTAAGGTCATTGTCAGGTAACACATTCAAAATTTCAAATTGATTTATTTTAAATGTGTTTTTGATAACCTTAAAGAGGTTGAAAATATTTGTAATTAAATATTTTTGATGGAGTTAAAAGGTGGTTTTTGCTTTACTTGTTATTATTGAAAAGAAAAAATTTATTATTTTTTTTGCATATCTTTTGTTGAAAAAGAGAAATTTATTATAGTACTGTCATTTAACTTTTTTCTTTTAATTTTAAATTTTTCATTTTCTGGAGTAGTTCTAGCAGCTGTTTTATGCTGTATTTGTGTGAAGGCATGTGCGCATTAATGAAACCTTTGAGTATTCGTTCTAAGATTATTGTAGGTGAACAGCATTTATCAACTATTGGCCTTATGCTTCTTTCAGGTACATTCCTCCACACGAATACAGCATAAAACAGCTGCTAGAACTGCTCCAGAAAATGAGAAATTTATTATGAATAACAGTCTAAATATAAGTATCTTAGCAATAAAAATTATAAATATAACAACATTTGTGTAAATCGATAATAAACAATTTAATTTAACTAAACAAATTATTTATTTAGCTATTAATAAATTCATTATGTATACAATAAATGCAATGCCTAATTTAAATTTTTACATAATTAAAAACTAATCATTTTTACATTACCAAGTCTACTATAAACTTGCAAATGTGATATTTTGAAGCCATTAACAAGAGGTTATAACGTTTTATTGTTAAACAATAAGAAATAGTTTATAGAAACAGTCTCTGTAGCAATATGTTATTTAATGAAAATTATGACTCAACTAAATTAAACATATAAAACTGTCTGAAACCTCACTCAGTGAATCAAATATTTTATTATAATGTTTTTGAGAGGAATTTTCTCATCTTCAGCAGTACATATTAAAATTTAACTACAAAAAACATCTGAATACCATTTGAACAAGCAATATATCATCATATAAATTGAAATAATTCTACAAAATGCATTATATGAACTGTTATTCATACTTCTTGAGTGAGGTTTGATGGTTTCATATATTTAATGGAATGTTGAGTCTCTTCCTAAGTTTCAATATTTATATATATAATTTATTATTTAATATAACTTTTATTGACTAAAAAGATCTTTATTATTTCCACATTCAAACATTAACAAGATAACAATTTATGTAATTCATTTAATAAAATTTTTTAGATTCTTTTCAACTTTAAGCAAGAATTACTAAAAGTATTGTCATTACTTAAAAATAATTAATCCATAAATATAAAATATTCTAAATGAATTCATTGAAATATAAATCAGGTGCATTGTCTGGCTTAAGTTAAGCTACTGGAGATTACTTGAAGTAATTTATTTTTGAGGGAAATAGTTCTATTTCTGCTGCTTTGCTTTTTGTAAATGCTATTTGCATATAAATAAAAATGTTCATATTGGAAATGAAGCAACATTGTAGCAATGTTAAAAAGAATATTAGAGGTAGACAATGACATGCATTTTCTCGTCTAAAACATTTTACAAATATTTTGCTATTTGTGGCAGCCATCTGGAATTTTATCGCTGGTGCTGCAACAGCTAAATTTAAGCAGAAGTTGCTAAACTGACTTTTAACAAAGCAAGTTTAAGCAGCTTTATCAGGTAATAAGCCCATAATTTCTATCACATATTCATACCAAGTGAATAAATTAAAAATTTAGTTATTATGTAAAATTTAACATATATATATGTACTTTTATCAAAACTTAAAAATAATCATATGTCACTTTCAAACTTTAACTTACATTAATTATAGATATTTAAGACATATTAGCATCATACTGACTTTATATGATATCACATAAAATCAATATGACTATAAATATCTATATATCAATAACATTGGTCTGGATACTCAATTAAAATAAGAAAAGTTTTTTTTTGTAAAGATTGAATGGGAGTGAGTAAAGAAGGTCTTTAAAATTTAAAGAATTAATGCTTTTATTGACTTACATTAACTTGTATTTTATTGTTTAGTATTTTTTTATGAATTTGGATTGATTAAATTGATTTATATTCCCCAAAAATTAAAATTTCATTGATGAAATTCTAGATAACAAGATTTTACTATAAAGAAAGTACTGTATATATCATTAATATATTTCATATCTTGAAAATAAATAGAAACATTTTTCAAATAAACTATCAAATGAAAATAGACAATGATAAAATAATGAACTTCATAGACTTTTTTAGCTGTTGTTGGTATTTTAAATTAAATTTCCATGTATAAGCATTGAAGTTCTTACAATTTGTAAGTGAAACTATTTATGTTTTTATCAATTATATAAATTTAAAATGCATAAATTTATCAAAGTTTTTGAAATTCATAAAAGTAACTAAGATAGTAACCAAAATAGAAAGTTATGGAATTATTCAAAAATATATATATTTAACTTCTAAATATCAATATTTTTGATTTTAAAGGCTATGGAATCTAATCTGATACTGCAAAGAAAATACTGAATGCCATGATGATATTAAAATGTATTAACTGAAAGAGGGTTTCAGTGTGTCCAACTTAGTTTGAGTAAACAGCTGGGACCAAAAATATAGTTAAAGAATCAAATTAAAGCTTTTATTCTGTAGATGATGCTGCTAAAGAGAGATTTGAGAAAAGTGTACTGGTTCAGGCATGGCAAAGTGGCAATGTATTAGTACAATGTTTAGTCTATGGGACAAGTATGTCAGGGTCCCATCCACTGTTATTTAACTTTAATCTGAGCTTTTATTTAACTTTAATTTTTTTGTGTTTTGCATTTTTGTTTTATAGAATACTGAGGTCAATAAATGTACATTTTAATTACTAATACCATTATTTTGTCACTCTCTCCCAACTCAACCCCACCAATCCCCACCACTTCAAAAGCACAAGCACTGCCTGATATACATAACTAGTTTAGTATTAAAGTTTAAATTATTTAAAGTTTTTCAGTGATTATGATTGAAATATTTGGAACACCATTTCTTTATTATTACATTGAACACTGAATGCAACTCTCACAAACATTTCTAAACAGTGATATTTCATGAAAAGTATTTTGAATTTTAAAATATTTTTGTGTTTTTGTTGCTTAAATTTATTAAATAATATATTTATGATCTAAATGCAAAATTACTGTGTGTGTTTATTATTCATTTAGTTTTGCAAATTGTAACTAACATATCAAAATATGCTTGTAGCCAAGATATGAAGCACAGTATTAAATGATATATGCATTTTTAAATAATACATCTGGAAATTTTAAAGATAAATAAATAAAATTATATTTATTTAAAACAAATTTTGTTTTTATTTATTTATTTATAAGGTTTCCAAATAAATACACTTGAATGTTATGTTATATTTTGTATACAAAATATAACATAACATTCAAATGCATTCGACATTACTATTATCACATATATGCTGTTAGTACATATATATGTGCTAACAGCAACTTACTTACCTGAATGAAAATAAAATTCAAGGATTATTATGTTAAATATTATTAAATTTTCATAAAATTGCATTATTTCCTAATTAGGCAATAGGGGTTTCGCCAAAATATTTGTAGCTTCCTGTACATTTTTTATGTTTACATAAATACTTATTATTGTATTACATATAGCATAGATGAGTAGTAGACTATACCATATAGGTTTGTCTAACAATAAGTACACTCTATGATGATTGTTTAACAACATATTTATCTCAGAACATATCCCCATTGTTAAGCAATACATATCTGTAAAAGTATGTACCTATAATTTTCGATAATACTTCATCTTTATTATTTTTTTATACATTCTTTAGTAATTATTTTATATATATTATTTTTCTTTAAAAAAATTAAAAAAATAATAATGACTTATTACTTTCCTGAATGTTATATATAAGAGGGAAAGTATGGTGATTGGTCGAAAAAGATCTCTCAAGAATTTTACATTTTTGGACTTTGCACCTTGAAATGTTGAGAAATGCAAAGAAAAAAAAATTGGGGAGTTTTTCTGTATGTATGGATATTAGTGTGTGTCAGGACATGATTTTGTTCAATCTCTTTGAAGCTTAATAATTCCTGTGCCTTTTAACAAAAATTTCTGAAATTTTGCAGGGAAGTTTGTGTATTGGGGATTGATGCTATTAAATTTTGGTGGTGAAAGGTTAAGGGTGAGATAGAGTGGGCTCATGTATCATATATCAAGTAGAGATGACTTAATAAAGATTTTACTTGTTATTAGCATTTACAATTTTTTATGTAACTCGTCCATACACTCAAAATTAAGCCATTTGCCATTTTATAATAATTAATAATTTAAAAACGTTTTTAATAAAATCTCATAATAGATGGCTCTGCACACAATTTTTAACTCTTGCTGAGAAAGTTACACAGCTTTTTGCAGGATTTTTTTTTAATTTTAAAAGTTATCTTTCAATACTAATAAAAACATTAAAGTTATTTTAAAGAGTTTAAATAACAATTTATTAGTGATGATAATGTCTGATAGTACTATATACATAATTTAAAAATTGCTTGAATTAATTATATATTATTTACATTAGAATTATTTAAAAAATGTAAACCACTTGGAGATTTATTAGAAAAAATCCAGTCAATGTTACAGGAATTATTTTTATATCTAACTTTAAAAAACTATTTTATCTACACTTTGTTCTTTTTATTATGATTGAGCTAATTTTATTTCATAAACATTTTTTAAATTAAAAAAAATTAACAAATTTTACTTATTTACGATATGAAAGTTATATGTGCAAAACTAAAAATAATTGAAGTATTTTACAGTAATTTAATTCATTGATTTATTCTTACTTTGTGTGCAAATGAATAAATAAAGTATCCAGGCTGAAAATGTGAAAATGTAAATGGTAAAATCTCAAAATATTAATACTTCAAACTTATTGTTTGTTACATATAAACTTTTAGTCTTTTAAAGTACAGTAATGTATTGTGAAGGATATCGTGAATTATGCTTCACGTCCAGAACTTGTTGTCGAACATTTTCGACGAGAGTCAGAATATTTGGACGAACGGGATATTCATTCGGCACTTTTTGGCTAATTACTTGGCTGAAGATATAGTAACTATGAAAAGTAATGAATCATTTTTTCAGTAAAAATCTTTTATCATAATTTACTTATATATTAAATAGTTTTTATGTATTAACTGTGGTGTGTGTATGCATATGCATTGCCCTACCATTAATATCAAGACCAATTAGTTTTTTTCTTTTTAACTCTTTCCACCCTGTGAGCAGTAAGAGGGCTTCTTATAGCAAGCCTATTATAGATTCAGACAGGCCCATAATAGGGCAGCCTGGTTGTGAGGGACAGAGCCTGACATATCTAGACAGACCATCATCTGAAAAGTTCCTGGTGCTTTTTCAACCATCCAGATTCAATCCCCAGAATGGTAGGCTGCCGCGTTGACCACACGGCCATCCAGCCATGCAAGATAAAGGTTTTAAACATGTTTTACTGAGTTTGTTATCTTCTACTGAAATCTTTGGCTGCTATGATGGCCTTACGCTTTGTGGCATACTCATCACCAGATTTTTTTTATAAATATGAAATTTTTCTCCATTCACGCTTTAACAAGGCCACTAGTTCAGCTATGTTCTTCAGACAGACCTTGCATGCACACAACTGATTCTCTAGTCCATGCCAAAGATATTAATAGAAGGGCACTCATAAGAGCATTTATGTAAACTTTTTAATGATAAACATGCATTGTCGTATGAATTAAATGATAATTAATATGGTTTTATATTAGATATTTTAAAATGATATAAAATCTAGATTCCTACCGAAATTCTTCAGCATAATTTAAATGGACATGATCTGAAATTCTGGCAGAGTAACTAACTAACGTTAACAAAACAGATAATTGCTGATGGAGTAAAACACTTTTAGTTGGCGTGAGAATTTCATTATTTGAAGGAACTGTTAATACTAAAATCTGGCACATAAGTCTTGCAAGAAAATTTTCCTGTATTTAGAAAAAACATAATAATTTATTACTGAATGAATATTAATTTGTTTGTAAACATTTGTCTAATCTTACCAAAAATTGCTGATCAGATAAAACTTTCACTAACCATGGTATATTATAAGTTTTCTGGTTTGTGGTTAATTCCTTTTCCTGTATTATTATTATGTAAACTTTATTACTTTATTAATTAAATTAAAAACATACAAACAAACAAAAATTACCTGATAAGCGAGTTGAACAAATTGATAGAGAGCAGCAGTAGATGTATTTGTTAGTTCTATCAAGGACCTGATAAGCTAAATTAAAGATAATTTAATATATCTCTTAATGTTTATTATTTATCGGAAATAAGATAATTACAAATTATGTATTATTCAATATACATACAGGTGCTTCAGGTAACATTTCCCATTCTTCCGATAAAAGTTGTTCATGCGACGTGATGATATTTTGTACAATGTTCTGATAATTGGCCGGAATCCAAGGTTCACTAATTAGAATTGTTAATAGTTCCTGAGTCCTTTGAGCACTAGAATTTAAATGATTTAGAATATTATGCATAAATCATAATTAATTTTAAGCAAATTTTCTTTAATGTATTTAGTAAATTATTCTTCTAGTTAATGCTTGTTTTTAGATGTAGAACTTAGTCACATAAAATCTTGAATGTTATGTTATATTTTGTATACAAAATATAACATAACATTCAAATGCATTCGACATTACTATTATCACATATATGCTGTTAGTACATATATATGTGCTAACAGCAACTTACTTACCTGAATGAAAATAAAATTCAAGGATTATTATGTTAAATATTATTAAATTTTCATAAAATTGCATTATTTCCTAATTAGGCAATAGGGGTTTCGCCAAAATATTTGTAGCTTCCTGTACATTTTTTATGTTTACATAAATACTTATTATTGTATTACATATAGCATAGATGAGTAGTAGACTATACCATATAGGTTTGTCTAACAATAAGTACACTCTATGATGATTGTTTAACAACATATTTATCTCAGAACATATCCCCATTGTTAAGCAATACATATCTGTAAAAGTATGTACCTATAATTTTCGATAATACTTCATCTTTATTATTTTTTTATACATTCTTTAGTAATTATTTTATATATATTATTTTTCTTTAAAAAAATTAAAAAAATAATAATGACTTATTACTTTCCTGAATGTTATATATAAGAGGGAAAGTATGGTGATTGGTCGAAAAAGATCTCTCAAGAATTTTACATTTTTGGACTTTGCACCTTGAAATGTTGAGAAATGCAAAGAAAAAAAAATTGGGGAGTTTTTCTGTATGTATGGATATTAGTGTGTGTCAGGACATGATTTTGTTCAATCTCTTTGAAGCTTAATAATTCCTGTGCCTTTTAACAAAAATTTCTGAAATTTTGCAGGGAAGTTTGTGTATTGGGGATTGATGCTATTAAATTTTGGTGGTGAAAGGTTAAGGGTGAGATNACATTTAAGGAAGAGGATCAATAGATAAAATCGATAGTCTTTCTGGAGACAATTTTAAAATGATTAAAAAATCCATATTACATTTATATATATATGAAGTATCTGGTTATATTTTTATATATATTAAAAGTTTATCTTATATTTCCAATATATTTTTTTTATTTTTTTAAATTTTATTCAAACATCTAACAGATTTTGTTTATCATTTCATACACGTTTAAACCATAGACCTAAAAATCTATAACATTTCTTATCATATAGTTTTCATTTTCTGGATCAATCCTTGACTGCTGTATCATTATTTTGTCTATAGCATACACGCATCAATATAGACGGCTGGGTGGCCAAGGCAGTTAAGGTGCCAACCTATCACTCTTGGAGATCTGGAATCGAATCCAGATGGTCAGAAAAACCCTGGGAATTTTTTGGGGGTAATCTGTCCTGGATATATTGGGTGCCTTCCCATATTATTCTGCCAAACCTATGATGAGTATGAATAAGAAGCCCTCTTAATGTGTACAGGGTGGAAAGAGTCAAAAATGAAATATTATAGCACTTTTATTATGCCAAATACACATAAATAATGCAGATTTTTGTATTTCTTTCCATATACTTTCAAACTTAAAAATTTACAAGAATTCATCATGTGGTTTATGTACTCTCCAATAGTTCTTGTTTGCCATTGCTGCTTTGTATATAGAACAATAGATAAGTATAGAGCTTATATTAAATAGAATAACTTATTACATAAATAACACAGATTTTGTTTGTGTTTTCATACATTTTTGCACCAGACTTAAAAATCTATAAGAATTCTAGTGGCATAGTTTGCATACTCTGGATCGATTCTTGTTGTTTGCTGCTGTTTTATCTGCAGCAGAATATTACAAGTGTACTCAGAATGCTACTAAAACAATATAAAAACATCATTGGTGAAATAACTATTTAATATTAATATTTGTATTTCCTGTGTAAACAAACCTTGAGCATTACCCCCGTTCAATAAAACCAGCATTTCTATAACAGAAAATCAATTTATATAGTAGATAATTTATAAAATTAATTTGTCATTAATTTGCTTGCAATATTATTTAAATTCAAACTTAATTACAATTATTTCCAAGAAATATAAATATATTTCCAAGAAAATATAATATGGAATAATAAATATATATATATAAATTCGTATATACATTTGACCATTTGCATATCTGTAAAATTATTAATTTATCCTTGAAAATATTTTAAGATTTGTGTTTGTATATTTTTTGATTAATGGCATTTAATGGAACTAGCATCACGCCAAGAATGAGTTTTTTACTTTTTTTTTAAAGAATATAACACTATTTCTAAGCAAAATCAATTATATCAACATGCATTAGCATTTAATCTGAACAATTGATCAAATTCTAATCTTGTTACTATAATAGCGTTTTCTTGTGAAAATCGAAATTTCTTTCCTTATTTTTGGGCTGCAATTTGAAAAAATTGTAGACCTATAAATTTCCACTGTCGTCCGTCTGTCTGTCTTTTCTTAATCTCGAGAATCGAGTAGATAGACGAAATCCGAGACCGGATATGGAAACCTTGAGGGCAGGAGGCCCCGATTAACTGCATACGAACGTTCGGTGCAAATCGGAAGTCATGTTGTTATCTCCTGAAAGTAGTTAGCTAGATGACTGACATGACTCTAACAGGAAAAGTATGATGTACAGGGGCAAGCCACTACTAATTTCAGGTGGAGAGCATATATTTTAAATTAAAAATTGCAGCCCAGCATTATGACGATGTCACAATAAATAATTGCACGTTCTGTGTTATTTTCTAATATTTAAACTATATTTTAAACTAATTATATGGTCTGGTATAATTTATCCAGAGCCTTGTATTATGAATCTGTAGACATTTTTACATATATCATTATTTGGTGGAGAAGGGACTGTTATACGTTAATACTCTAGGGCACAACAAATATAAGTCCAGCCCTGAATTTATCTCATGGTTTATTAATATAGCCTAATAGCAGGGATGACTGGTATGGTTCTCTTCGAATTCCCAACAGTGGGCTTCAGCTTACTGGTCTGGAGATCACTTTTAAGGAATTTTTCATGGGCGGATATGTTGGGCCCGTCCGTCACATTTGTTCCTCATTGTGGGCATGCCAAATCCACGATGGGTATGAAAAAAAGGCCTTATAGTGACCATAGGGAAGAAAGAAGGGTTAAAAAGTAACACATCAGAATATTTCAATAAATTAGCTCAGAATACATTGCTTACGTGACAATAGAAATAAATAGAAATAAGTACAATGAAACAAACAAGTATCTAGGAAACATAACAAACAGTATAAACAGTAAAGGTCAATAATATAAAAATCGTAAATTCGAGTGGATAACATTAAAATACTTATATACGTTCACGTCACTACATACAGTATTACATCTTAGATCTATATTCGCCCAAGAATGGTGTAAAATTCACGTAAAAGTGAAAGAAATTCGAGTAAATTATAAATTAATGCGTCTCCCTAGAGACACCAAGAAAGGCAATTTAAATTAATCTCGACCCATTTATAATCTCAGTCAAGTGATCGATCGATCGATCTAAAGATCAATCTCGATTCGTTTCTATTGTTAAATCCAACTTTTATGAAATGGTAGGGGCTCTTATCTCTCGAGTTCTACATTATCTTCTCCTGTTCGAATTGTTATTATAGAAGTATTGAGGTCTTTACGTCTACCGAAGCTACACAACATTAGATCGATACGTAGTGTACACTCGATATGATCGATAACCTTGACGATTTAATGTTTTATAATTGCAACATATGTTAGATATTGGATAAAACTGGTTAACGAGCATTTTCAGTTTAAAATTAATTCTGTGGTTAATTTTCCCCTCTTGGCCCTTTAAATTATTAATCGCCCGAAAAATATCCCTGTAAATTAAATGTACGAGATAAAAACGGATGTAATTTGTATTCTTTACATACAGCTTAACAGCGAGAATGACGTAGAACAAGCATGATGAGAATTATAACTAAGAAACTTGGGCAATATTCTAAAAATACAATATATATAAAATGCTGAGTGTATATAAACAGTAACGCGGTCCCTCCCTGATATTTAACGTGAATATAAATATATTAAAACTCATCTAAAAATGGGTTGTGCCCACTAATCTCCGAGTTGATAAAGCCGCAGAACTCTGGTAGTTTGGTCGCGGGTTCAGGCTTCGCCACGTATAGTTTTCCGGGTTTTTTCACGACTCTAGCACTACTTTCCCATAGACCGGATTTTCTTCACGTTTCTAACACTTAAATATGGACTAGTTTTCCATAGAAAGAACCCTAAAGGCGTCCCCTTTGCAGATCTCTCGAAGGCCTTATCCCATTAATTCCACTTCAATCCTAAGATTGGTTATACGTTCGGAAAGAATTGCAAAGTCTACTTCACCGTATCTAAGCGAGTAATGGGAGTCATCGTCCTACAGAGAGGGAGGATTCATTAACTAGAAAGGTTGATAGTACAGTAATTGGAGCGTTTCAACTGCTGTACGCTCAATCACAAGAACCTTGACCATATTTTTATTCAATAAAAACGTGAGCCACTCACCTTCCAAAATAGCTTCCTAGCCAAAGACGACCTCGTTAACTCCGTCTGAAAGTTATCCATTAAAACTCTCAATTGAGCCATATCATTTTGATTAATTGCATTTAGTTTACGGTATACGTCGAGAAGAATTTGGTCGAAGTGCTCTCTGCAATGTTAAGAACCCCATTAAAGAATCATTTAAAAGAATAAATGCATACACGAGGATGAACTCTGAACTTTATAATATTTTAATTAAATAGTAAGTATAATTAAAAAAATATATATATATTGATCTTGAAAACAATTAATCACGTGTTAAAGGCTCTACCAAGTGGCCTATCAACACGCAACGAGCTTGTAATCCCGCCGTCGACACGAATGTTGATTTTCAAAGGGGGTGCAGCATTGATGACGGTGTCAACGTTCTTAAAACGGAACAACACGGCTCGTATTATTTTTCTATCAATTTGATATTCAAATTATAAACCTAAAAAAGGTCCCAGATTCATTTATAACCAATGATTTCCACGATAAATACCTGTTTGATCCTTTGTTGAAATAAATTTGATCATTCTCCATACGAATCGTTAATTTCTAAATTTGAAAATAAATTCGTGTTTAATGGATATTTTTGGAAGAAATTTGGAAAATATAACAAGATACTCACCACTAATATCCTATTCCAAGCAGCGATTAAGTGTCTAAAAATTGCCGACTGCGCTGTTAAGATGTATAAATGTAATTCGGACGGATGTTTAGGTGATTTCTTTGATTTATTAGTCGAACTGGAAATATAATTTTGAGTATATTTAAAGGATATATTTTAATATATTAATTTATTAAGATTAATTTCCATGTATTTACTGAAAGTAAACCATTTAGTTTCGAGTTACGCTGGTAGTTCGGTGCACTATTATAAACTTGTTTCGAATATTATCAATGGATGCAAACATTGCTCTCAAGCATCATCAATGGATATAAAATGGATACAAAAATTCTTTAGCTGTTTAAGTGCATTCGTTTCGTCTAAATAGTGTACACTTTTGCGTCAAATTGACGTCATTATCACAGTTTTTCCGTAAGAAAACTGGAAGAATGATGTCAAATTGGCGTAATATCTTCGAGTGTGGTTGTGCTTTAAGAATTTTGACTTAATGTTGTCCAGTAGTCTGTGTAATGGGTAAATGTAGTCGAGTCAAATTAAACCAGAATCCTTTTAACGAGTTTTGGATAGAGTGGAATTAAATTAAATCTGTTTTGATGTCATTCTGTAAACAGAAATTACATTTGCTACATTGTTACACTGAATAGAATTTGTTAAATATTTTATTTTCGTTATAATTTAGTTCTGTTTCATTATATTAATGAATAAAATTAATGTTTTTTTTTTTTTTAATTTAGTTTTCCTAGATACCGTTTCTTTAATGAATTTAAATTAATAATAATTGTGATTTATATCTACAAGGTGCCCCACAACTCAATTAACTGATATGTTACTTGGATCGTGAGAATCAAAATGTACAAACTTTAGAATTCTGTAAATTGTTTGCAGAACATGAAAATGCATTCAGAACAGATAGTTACAGTGTAAATCTGAACGGTTAACTAATTTTTGAGCACCATTTATATTGTTGTAAATGATGCTTTTAGTATTAAGCATTGTCAAAATTGTGAAATTTAATTATTTTATAACAAATGAATATCCGAAAGAGATATAATCTGCATCCATTTTATCCGTTCTGTATCCATTGATAATGCTTGAGAGCATTTTGCATCCGTTAATGATGCTCAAGAGAATTTTTGTTTTCATTGACAGTGCTCGAAAGCATTTTTTGCATCCTATTCATATTATTAAATGGACGAAATTCTTTTGTTTCAACGAAAAAAAAATAGATTAAATAGTAAAAAAATTGTTTCGAAATAATTTTAGTCTTTAACTGAATATATTAATAAATCTTCCTTTAAAAAAAAGAGGATTTATTGCACAAAGAATAAATGCTGGCGTTCAATTGTCATCGTTAAAACAAACCAGAACGTATAATTTTACTGCTTGTGTCGAAAGAAAAGAATGTGCAGAACATAAAATAACCATTAAATCATAAAATTGGAGAGAGTTTAAATTGTTTTGTTGTAATAACATTTTTACGCATGAGTACGTTCAGTTTTTTGCTCCAGAAGATAAATGATTGTTTTTATTTTTATAATAACATAAAGCAGAAAAATGGATAGTGTGAGCGCCAGTTTCGTCCCGACAGATAACCAGATTGCTGGTAACATTATTTAATTAAATCTAGAGCAAAAATTGCAGTTAATCCTCTACAATACCCCTAATCGTTATAGTATTAGTCACGCGTGAACATCATTTATCCGCACGAATGCTCGTTAAGTAGATTAATTGATGCATACGAGGGAGGAATTCGTGTAAATTTATTATTATTATTTTGTAAAAATTGTAAACTTACTCCTCCGGATTATCGGATAAACTGCGTCGATAGTCATGCTTCTTAACTAAGAATAAATGGTCTGCGTAATTTCCTAGAGCCGTCTGTGCACGACCCGAAGGTGATCTCAATTGTAAAGTGACGTCGTGATCTCCTGGTGATAACAGCTGTTGAGAGATTGGAGGCACAGAAATTGGCCTCTTGTGGTCGGTGACGTGTAAGAAGCTTTGATTCCTTTAAAAATTAAGGATTTTTTTTAAGTAAAGAGTGATTAATGAAGCGCCTTAACTGTAACAATTACCTGAGGTCATTTCCTAGAAAGTTATCTTCGATTGGCGATGCTATAGAGCTTCTATTCGTTTCTAACTCGCATCTAACTTTATATCTACTGAACAATAAAAGTTTTTTGAAGATGGATTTCCTGTGTTTCTTAATGTTAACGTCGTCCGATGCTATTGTGACGTCGCTTTCGTGTATAGATTCCTGATGATCGTCTTCCGATACTGTCTGCAAACCGCATTTTCTCCTCGATAATAAAAGAGACGATAAGAAACGACTCCAGTTCCATTTTTTTCGCGATTTCGATTCGGGTCCTGGATCTGAAGCGGATGATCCTTCGGCGGATCGTATGGAAGCACGTGATCCTGCATCCTCCCTATAAGAGATGTCTGACATTTGGGATAACGATCCCGTTAACGATAGAGGAACCTCTCCATCTTCTTCTTTAGATGTTATTTTTATGTGCTGCACATTTTCCCGTTCTGCTCCCTTTAAAAATTCTGGATATTCGTTAATCTGTAGGGAGCAAACAAGAAAATTAAGGTGTACTGTACGTCCTTCATCAATTAATGGATTTTTAAACAGTGTTAATATAAATATATATATATACTATAATTAATACTAAAATCTCTCCCAAACTTTATCGCTTTTGTAGCTTTCTGTTAAATAGAAAATTCATGCTGATGGAATTATAATTAGATCTTAATTCTTTTCTATTAAGTGAAGTGTTTTAATGGAGTAAGGCCAAAATAGTTCCTGTGATGCTCTTTTTTAATTCGTTTAAATACGAAAAATCGCTCTTTAATTCGATTTTATTAACGCCATTCACATGGGAATAGATTTAAAAAATCATTTAGAATTTACAATAATTTAATTTAATTTATAAAATTGTTAAAATTTATAGTAGAAAACTTTGAAATTTTATTCGAAATTGGCTCTTCTCAATTTAAAGATAGGCAAGGTTGAGATTATTTAAGATAGTAATAAGCCGAATTTTAAAATAAAACCCATAGAAAAAATTAAATGTAAGAATTTATTCTCTTTTTAACTAAATAAAAATAATTTAAAATGTATTTTAATAAAATTCTTAGAGATTTTACTGATTTAAAACAAATTACTCATCTCTGCATCTCGAAATTTCTTCCGGAAAACTCTTAAATTTCTAAGTTATTTGTGTTTATCGAAGGATAAATTTTATATTATTCGATGTCAAATTAATAAAATCTTTAATTCCGGATTATAAGTTTTAAAAATACGGGTCAAGTTTTTTAAAACGAAGTTACTATTATGGGCGGTTTAACAAGGCAGCACTCGTTTCACTGCTCCATACATGAATGGGAAGTGATATAAATCTGTAATTTCCTTTAATAACATGGTGTTAATTGTATTTAAATTGGTATAAGATGATCAGAGATCGTATATTAAAAGAAATTATTAACTTTCTAAATCGATGCTGTTCTATGTTTGGTATCTGAGGCAACAAACACTATGGCAACGGAAAACATTTAGCTTTCGAACAACCATACAAAAATTCGAGTAAATATAAAATTACAATATCTAGAACACCCCGTTCGATTGTGTGAACTTCTTCCTTCTTTGATGAGTAGGTAGATCATTAATAGGCTACCTTCACATATGCTGTGTCCTATATTTTACCATCCAGGGTCATCACGTATATCAGAATGACACGGTGCTCATCACTGATGGGTCAAGGATAAGACAAAGTAGGACAGATCGCTTTATTCATAATTAAATTCATTTATCTAGGATATTTTCTCTTAAAAACAAGGAATTCATTTGGCATCATTAAAATTAATGCAAATTTGTATCTGTTACATTAAACTACTTTTTACTTCAGAGAAAAAAAACTCGAAAGGTCGGCTTTCCTGTATAGCTACCGAGATCGCACGATAAGCCAACTTTACAGGATATGAACCTGTTTTTGGTTGATTTTTCTAAAAATTGTATAGATTTTTCTGTGGAAAAAAGTACTAAAACCGTATTAAAGTACGTTGAATGTCAATTTGGTAGAAATTGGTCGATTTATTTAAATATTCTACTAAAAGAAAGAAAAAAAAATAGATTTTTAAACGTTGGATTCGACCTATTCAAAACTTACACTCAGCATTATATAACTAAGGAAAACTTTAATAATTTATATAAAGTTTATGTAAATATTAGAAAGGTTACTTTATCATTATGATATTTTCATTCTTTAGAAGAATTTTGCATAATCTTGATAGACAAAGTTGACATTATCTTAAGTAACTCGAAAGGAAGGTTGTCAGCATCACCTGCTCTCTATGGACAATTTTACTTTCAGTTATCTTACATAACTGCGTTTTTAAACATAAAATCTTTTAAAAGGGAGAGAGTTATGTAAGAAAATGCAGAAAAGAATTACAAAATTAATTCGAAAGAGCACTCCAGACACGTGCCAGAAGGTATTACTCATGTGAAATTCAAACAAAGCAAAGTAGGTTAGTCGTATTTACTTAGCTGCCGATAACCGTTATGAGGTGCAAAGAAATTTTTTACGATTAGATACGATTAAAACTTACCACTTCCAACCTGACGACATCTCCCAGATGGACAATAAGTATTAATTCCGTGGGGGGATTATCGGTGACGTAAACGTGTTCGTCAGTGACCACCACGAACCTAAAAGTCGGTTGTTTATCGTAACTCGAACTGACTACACAAGGCTCGTACCAGGAAACTTGGCAATATTCTTGAGCTAAACATTTTTGCAAGAAGCTTTCCAACCTTCCATTCTTGCGAATCCATCCATAATCACGTGCGTTCGCTGCCATGTCTGCTTCTACACTGACTTCTTCCAATCAATGATAGACTGTCAACCTTTTGTGTACTTTCATCGAAACGGAAGTGACGTTGCCACCTTTCGTGACGTTATATCTTCGTTTCGAGTAGAAAATCACCCCCTATTTTCCCTAGAAAATATGGCTAACGTGGTATTAAACTTAAATTTTCCCCTGAAAGTAACTATTTCGCTGTAAGAACTTATATTTTTTTCTGTATTACATGCTGTGAAGTTCCCACTAAGACGTTTAATAATCGTAAATTAAAAAAATAATAATCAGTGTTTTACCTCTTACTACGTAATTATGTATAGAAAATAAGGAAATTTAGCGTGTAAAATACATAATATTCGGCTCTAAAACCAAAATTTCTAAGGTAAGACTTCGATTTTTGTATAGGAATCGACCCTGTATACTAAATTTTAAAATTCTATTTAAATATTTTGCAATTATATCAAAGAAATTTACTATATCTCAGGCTTACATTGATAAATAAATGTATAAACAAGCGACATCTGATCATTAGAGCAGCTGCATTCAAGTTAAAAAATAATGTTTTTAAGGCTTATAATTAAAAAATAACACGGAATTTTCGTTGAATTTTCACGAATTTTTTTTTAAATTATCATAACCGAACCGTTTAAATATAAATATTTTTCTAATTATAATATAAATGAGAGAAAAATACTGCGAAATGCCTGATAAACTTTCTCTCACGCATTTTGCTAGAAAACTGGGTCACGTGTTTACGATTTAAATTTTTGAATTTTTTACTGTCATCTCGCCATCTGGTGTGTGAAGTTGGAAATAATTTTATAATTATTAAAAATAATAACACTAGGGAAGTGTTATGCAGTCGTCGTCCATTGCATTTTAGAAAATAAATAAATAATCGATTTATTAGTTTATAAAGGGTAATTTACTATATAAAAAAATTATTATAATTTAATGGAATATAATTATCTACTGTCGCGACTGCACGTGATAGTGTTTTATACGATAGCCTAAAAATTATAAATGTAGTTACTTCCGTTTCCGGTTTGGATTACTCTGAAAATATATTGTTATCTTGTATAGGCCTAAATGATAAAGTTTTTGGCACGGAAATAGTCTTTATACGTTAAATTTTTAATTATTAAACTGTAAAATAACTCTTCTTCAATTTATGTATTAGTTAGGAAATTATATTACATTGTTTTATAAAGTTATATGCCAGAAAAAAATATCAGATATAATTACAATGAAATAATAATAATGTTGATTTCAATCACAGTTTACACGTGTACACAAGGTCAGGCACGTAAGTTTAAGTGCATGCATATGTGAATGCTGTGACTGAACGCGCTTAAATGTACATACATACACGCAATACGTACTGTGCATAATAGCGTACATACATCTAGGCACATGTATAAATATATCTTGCTTAAATGCATGTATATAGGCCTATATACTTCGTGCGTACATACTGTACACTCGATAATTCGAACAATTTTTCTTAAATTCTTCAGCCAAAACGAATGAAATACTAGATTATGTTTTTAATATACGACAAATTTGTAATATTAATATACATTAATGTAAATATATAGTAAAACCTCTATAAACCGGACTCGCACGGTACGAATATTTATTCCGGTTTGGCAGGTTTTCGTTTTGAACAGGTTTCTTTTAGTACAGAAAATCGCTTCGTTCCGAAGAATTTTTCCCGTTTTTGCAGGTTTCTATTTTATTAAGCTTCCGTTTTGAACAGGTTTTACTGCATATACCAAATACAGTATAAAATTTACGTACAGTACTGTACTTGGCTATTTAATCAGAACTTTTTAATATCGTATCGTAATTAGTTCGGATTATTGAGAATGCACTGTATATATGAGTGTACAAAATGGAGGTGTAGAAAGGTTTATACACACATATAAAGCACAAAAGAGATTCAAATCAGACACATAAACACACATACAAGACAGACAAATACATGTGTACACGCAGAGATACACACATAATAAACATAACACTTAAAGATAAATTTCATTTATGTAAACTTTACTGGAAGTGTTACTAATTATATAGAAAATTTCTAAAAAAAAAATCGAGATGAAATTTATTTTCTTTTGATAATATATCTATAAAATTGCTTAATATGTAATTTTGGCCGTTTAAAGTCGAATTTTGCACTATTCAAAGTGATAATTACTAATTATAACCCCATTGGTTTCAAATAATATCATAGATCAGATATATCCAATAAAGGACATTTTGTAATTGCAAAATTGCTATTTAAGTCGACCTCTGAACAACGACCACTGGCGGGAACATTTAAAAAAAATGGCCGTTGTTTCAGTGGCGTAACGTGGGTGTCAGCCGCCCGGGGCAAAGGAAAATTTCGCCTCCCCCTTATTTAGGTATCTCAATTTAAAAACTAAAATTCAGTTTCGTCACAGAATAAGTAATGAAAAATTCCGTGCTAGTGTTGCCACCTTTTTAAAATCGCTGACCCGGACGGGGGGTGAGGTTTGTTCGAACAGAAGTTCCTGAGGAATGCGTATGTCATTTTGCAATGCGAAGAATAATGTGCAGTGCATGCCGGTTCAGTTAGTGATTAGGGAGAATTGGGTAGGAGTAACGTAAGTAACCTAGATGACTTAGCTGTATTGGACATTGGTGGACATTGGAGGTATATATGAATACGAATGATTCGTACAAGCAAAAAAAACAAAGGTCAACAGGTTGCGCAGGATATCCCGGGATAAAATTACTAGTTCACCCGGACTGTCCGGATGATAGCACTATCGTAGGTGCGACGCAAATATAGGATAGATTGGTTCAAATTTTTACAAGATATTATTATTATTTATTGTGAAATTTTGCCGCCCCCTAAAAAGTGCCGCCCGGGGTGGTCCGCCCCTGCCGCCCCCACTACGCTACGCAACTGCATTGTTTGCAGGTTAATTTGTACGACTTTTTTTTAAGAAACAAAGTTCCAGGAAAAAAATGGCCGCCATTTAGACTAGTTGGTCGTTATTGGAGGTTTGACTATACTTAAGCTATATGATCTAATATTAAAGGAACATTATTATTGAGTAAACAAATCGCTATTCGCATTACATCAGAGAACAATCGATAGAATTTGCATTGTTATAGGAAAGCGATTTTCTTCACGCGAGACGTGTCCTACTTTCGTGTTTTCTAAGCAGAAATCGTTCGGTTGAAGAATTTCATTACTTAAAATTCCTCTCTACTAAAGTGTTTACCTATATTTTTCTTAATTATAACTGTTTAATTTAGATAAAAATCCATTTAAAATATCACTTTAAATATTTTTAAACTGATAATTTCTCACTTCAATAGATAATCAATACCGTCGCCATCGTTTTAATCATAATTAAGTTCCATTTTATCGTATTAATTCTTCGATATATGAATTTACGACTATTGTACGTAGTGTTTTTTTTTATCAATTATTTTCTCCATTAACTTATAAATTTAAATTATTTACCGTTATAAATGCCCGTAAAACATTATTTAGTAAGTTTTATATAATTAAACTTGATTTTGTTCAAAAATAAAATAATTAAAAACAGTTTTATTGCTCTTCTTTAACGAATACCAGACCGATCTTGTTAAATAATGCTTATTTTCTTTTACAATTAAAAAAATTCGCGAATATTATGTACAGTACATTATGAACACATCTCTCTTCATTAAAAAATGGATTCTGTACAAAAAATATACAGGTACATAATTAAGATCTGATATTCCATATTGTGTAATCATCAGAATTCTCTTGCCATCTGGACTTTAAATATTCCGCGAAAAGACTCCTTGCCTTACTCAATACCCTCTGTACATTATGCTTCCTTACCAGCTTATCAAAATGCATAGCCATATCGTTATAGTCCATCTGTTTGGCTATAATAACGTCCCTATGCTGGAGAAGGATGGTTAAGCAGAGGAAGAGAAGAAAAGGATTCCCTCCCGCTAAATCCTGAGGATCGGGTAATGTAAATCGATCCCTGCAAGATAAATCAGTCATTCCCGAATCTATGAAGGCACATTTTTCTTCCAATAAAGTGTAATCGCCCGAATTGCTTTCTTCTTCTGATATGTAACCTTCGCTAGCCTTCGATGTAGGCGGATAAGTATTGAAGTAATCGTCGTAACGCCCGCTGGAACTTAAATCATTACGTAGACAGTGATCTAGAGAAAATCGCCTCCTCCTAACACCTTCCAACAAACAATCGCAGGAATGTGTTGCTAAGCAGTTCGTAACGTGGTTCCTTTCGTCGCTATCTAAAACAGTACACTGACTTTCGCAGAAATGTTCCTTCCATAACGCATCCGAGCTGTTGTTACTGTCATTACTATTGCCGCTACTCTCCACAGCGGTTTCGTAACCGCTGCTGTGTCTGCTTCGTTCGTCAATTGTCAAAGAAAGAGAGAAGTCGTCAACCTCACTCAACGATACTTCAGTCCTAGATGAAGGTGGAAGCGAACTCCATAACACCTCCAACATATGTAACGCATCATCAAAGGCGAATTCCCTTTTCAGTTCGAGTAGCAGCCACCGGTAACAGAAAATGAGATCCGTAGCACCCTGTTTCTTAAGATAACGATGAAATTCTGGATCGTAATGCTGAAGAAGTAAGGAGAGATGATTAAACTTCAGCATCATCGATCGGCCATCGTGGTCAAAGTTACTTTTAAGCCGCTCCATTAAAGAACAAAAGCAGAGATACGTGTGTCCTTCGTGCTTCATGACCACCAATAATGGAGAAACAATATCGCTCATCCCCTGACAGTAGGAAACGGAGGGATGAGTGAGCGCGTACGTTGTTAATATATTAAATAGGGATGTTAAATTTTTATTATCGCTTCCGGAATAAAATTTATGAGTCCTATCGGTACGTAGAACGTCCTTCCAAACATTATTACTGAGACGTTTCGCTTCGTCCGTTAAATGATCCTGCAAACGAGTCCAACTGTCTCGGAGTTTTTCATACTCTTCGTTCTTCCTAGCTAAATAAGCCAGCTGTTCCGATTGGCTGAGATTTTCGCTGTAGACGTTTAAAATGTGCTTCCAGACGACAGATCGAAGAGATGGTTCGATGCCACCCTGATAAACAGACAAGCGTAGTTCTTTCGGCCGAATCAAGCGGCCATCACTATCAAAATATGTATGGAATTCCGTATTGTTCATAGGATTCTTTTGATTAGCTCCAGGGTTGTTATCGTTTAAGTGAAAGGCCTTCTGCAAGAACGTAAAAGTCTTTTCCATCTGCAATTTAACAGGTAAATATTTAATATTTAACAAGAGATGACGCGAGTGAAGAATGAAGGATACTTACTTGATTCAAGAAAGAATTGGCAAGTGAAGATTTTAGTCCAGAATCGGAGGAGAGAAAAGGCACGTCAATTGGAGCGATTATGTCCCATTCGTCCAAAGCTGTAAGGATTATAATGTGATAAATACGATTATCTTAATAAATTAACGGCTAGAATATTAATTAGTTACAAAGTTAATACCTTTATCTCGTGGAAGAGTTTCGATTCTTAACTGAAGAAAAGGGTGAGATGCTGCGGCAAATGCGGCATCTAAATCCCAGTCGGAAGCCAAAGGAAGGTATTCAGAATTTCCCATCATATAACTGATGTTAAAATCCCTAATTATCGAAGAAAACGAGATTATTCGATGATTCGTTAATTCAAATTTCAAAATTTTTCAAATGGAAATTATTTTTAATCCGATTCGTCTTTTTAAATTCAAAAAATTTTAAATGTATTAGTTCATTGGACAATATATCCGGAATTATCCAATCGTATGACGATTCGCTTATGACGTGTTTCTATCGTAACAGAAAAGAAACTCGTTGTGTGCGCTCATAAAAAAACTTCACAAAACAATAATAAAGTTTAATAAATTCGACACGAACCCTTCTATGTCGTAAATTTTCGCCAGAAGTGACTGCAACATATCAAAAGAAGTAATTTCGGGGTCGACACTAAATTTCCTTTCGACGTGTGGCGACATCTATAAAAGAAAATTATAGTTAAAATCGATTTCCATAGTGTTAGAAGGAAAGTAACAGTAATAATAATAATAATAATAATTAAAACATAGAAAAATGTCATTAAGGAAGAATACGATGATCGAAAAATTTTCTTTTTGAAAACTGGCGAGACAATATGACTCACATAATAGATTTTATAATCGAATATTACACAGGACATCTTTAGATTGCAGATAAAACTTTTGACTTTGCTTAACCTGAGATTAAATGTAGGATTTAGCCAATCACGGCTCGATAACACGTTCCTATGGAGGTTAACAACCAATAGAGTCCAACAATCTTTGGAATTTCAAAAAACTAATGCATCGCATAACGCTTAACAATTTCTACATTGAATGGCCATTGAGATCAGATGCCAGCTGAGAGCCATTCTTTAGAAAAAACCAGTCACTTCCTTCTATATACACTTTGACCTGTGAAAGACCCTGGCCTACATTTCATTGTTTTAATCATCTTAATGATTTTTTTTCCATTTTATCTGAGGCTTTTAATGGGTATTACAGAGTCCGGAATGATATTAATACTAATCTGAATATCGATTCTGATTTCGAAGATATGCTTCCTTTAAAATAATTAATACGTTGTATGAGTTCAAGTGTTTAATGTAGAGATAAGCGGAGTATAATTATTTATGGATCCTATTTTTAGGAGAGACAACATTCTTATGTACAGAAATTAATTATTGATAAATAAAGAATTTTTATTAGGCTAAATAGGTCAAAATTATTTTAAAAAATGGTAAATTGTGTTAAACATTTATTAATATTCTTAAGAAATTAGGCTATGTAGTTCAAAATCCTATTATAATTCCAAACTGTCCAATTAAAATATTCCTGTACAGGTTGTTTTTTTTTTTTATTGTTATATAACTTAATGTGTTATCATAAATCAGGACAATAAAATTATAATTTCTCAATTTCTTATATAAGTTTAAATTTATGTTCTTATATATATAAATCTAAATGTAATTAAATATTCATAGAGTGTAATATATAAGCCTTTCTAACCTTTAATTTTTATATACAAATATAAATCCATTCAATTAAATTGCTCTTATGATTTTATATATTACATCAAATCAGAACAGCAATTTCATTTACATAATTTGCACTTTTGTATATAGAATTTCTGTAGTCATGTCTTAAAAATGGATGTAACTACATATTTAAGTAGTTATATTAATGAAGAATGTCGAACTAAGTTACATATGTCCTTAAAGTATGTATGTATGTATGTATATACATACATACATCTTAATTAAGAACATATGTAGTTTTTTATACATTTAATTTAAGACCAGTATATAAATGTATACACATGTAAGAAACTGTACGGTAGTTACACTGCATTTCCTGGGGAAATACATTATCTGGTTGGGTGACTTCAGAACATTTTTAACGACCCAAGCCGGAAAAAAAAATATTCGACCTAAATATTTACTTTATTACTAATAAAATTTCTATAATATTTAAGCAATTATATTTATTTCGGCGTGGTACGTGTATATAGAACTATGCGTGTTTCAATGCTATATTTAAATGGAGTAACATCGGAAAAACAGCTTGTGTAATTGACACATAACATTCTTTCAATATCTACGCGTGTATAAGATATATTATAAAAATTTAAATAAGTAAAATTTCGAGTTTAATACGGTAATATTCATTATACAACATAACATATGCGAATTTATATATAGTTAAATGAATGCTTACCTGAACTCGAACACGAATAGCTTCGCCGACATGATATCCTAATATGCCGGACATAGTGTCAATTAATAACCATTACATCAGAAGAGTAGCAACTGTCGAGGTTTCCTAGATGAACAATTCCTTCCCAATGAGGCAAAGACACAAAATTGTCTTTTCCATCCATTTTGTGACGTCTTGCTTTACGTCAGTCGTCTACGCAGCCATCTAGCGGATAGATAACAATGACGTAAATGCCATCCTAACCAATGCTAACCTGTACGAGATATTTAGAAATTAAAATTTGAGTTATATTTTATTAGTAATAATCATAAACGAAATATTAATTTTTGTAATTTAATCTTCGTTATATAGGCCTATATATATTTATTTAAAATGAAACATTTCGAATTTAAAAATGTAAATTTAAATTCTTTTTTTGTTGGCGGCAGTTTTTTTACGTTAAAGGGTTATATTTTGTTGAAAATCGATAGGAATTTTATTTATGTATTAAAATACTCTTCAGTATCCTGAAACGAATGCTATTTAATTTATTTTAATTATTAAAATGAATTTATCTAAGCAATTCTTTAACGGCGCATCTGTATTTTGTTGCAGTTTTATTACTACAGTTATAGATATTTTATGATTATTAAGTTAAAACAAACGTTTAACTCGCTAAAGAAGGACATAAAATGTATGAATTTGAAATTATAACGTCCCCAATTACAGAAAATATCCTCAAATATAAAAATTTGTATTTAAATTCCGAGTAAGAACAAGTAGTCTATTACTTTACTAAACATTCAATTTCCTTATCTACAAAAAGTAAAAATGCTTACATATTAAGAGGCGGAAATTTTGTTATTGCTGATATTTATCCTTTAGTTAACAAATTTTTCTAATAAGTTATGAATAAATTTAATGATAATGAAGATAATAAACTATATTTTAATCCGTTAAGGATTAACACTCGATAAGGATAATGTTTCCGATTTAATCAGAATTGCGATATCCTGTTAACGTATATTAATAATAATTATATTATCAGTTAAAAATTGTAATTAATAAGATAATTCTGTTTAATTTTATAATTTGATAAATTAAATATTGATTTCAAAGATTGTAGACCTTAAAACATAAAGGCGACATATATTTGAATATTTATCAGTGTATTAACATGACACTTTAACATTAAATAACGTTAACGTGTTCAGAATGCCAATATTCTATTTTCAAAATTCAATATTTATATGAGACTTTTATGGCATTTTATATTGAAAAATATAAGCTGATTTACTTTAATCTAAGCGAGTTTGTAAATTATAATAATAAATTCTGACAATTAAATTTTAGCTATAATTACTTATAAATGAGATTTTTCTTTACTTATATATGAATATATCAATTACAGCATTATAATAGCGCTGTTGTATAGTCAGTCAGTACATAATTATCTGAACTGACTATGCGTATAATAATATGCCAAATATTTAGAAGATTAATTGTGAATTAATTAGAGATTTTTAATGAAGTCCGTTTAAATTTTTTTAAGTACCTCGTATTTTATATCGATGTATAAATATAAAAGTACGAGAAATCAACAGATATGTACAGTATACCAAAACTAAAATTATCTACATATAAACCATTGTTTGTATGTTAAAAAAATATAGAGAGATTTTGATTAAAAATCCATGGTTACAGACATGTTGCAAAATAATCAACAAAACAATAATTGTGATATGGAGAAAAAAGACAAAAATTTTGATATTGTATCATTTTGATCTTTAAAATTAATAAGACTTTTAAAATATCATTAAAATTATCATCATTACAATTACATAATTTGATTCGAAATTATATATTCGTGTCTTAAATGCCAAACTTAATATACGTAATTTCAAGACTATATAATGATATCTTACAACGTTTTGTTTGATAAATGTAAGCCTATTTATGTTTCTTCCTCTTCTATATCAATATTTCAGATACATATACTTGTTTATACTTGATACATGTGAGAATTTTATTGAGTTCATCAACCTATTGAATAGTAGGATTATAATAAATGAAAAGTTTTATATCCTGATTATTTTCTCTAGTTTATGTTTATTCTCATATGAAATATTTACAATTATCCTTTTATCCTTGGTGATATATTCTTAATGATTTTATATAATAATAATTCTAACCTTTTAAATTAATTTATTGAATGTTTGCATGAAGATTTAAAGGATCTGATTCTAAAAATAGAACAACCTCAAGTTCAATTTTTGGATCATTTATTTAGTCAAGATTAATGTCTAGGACTATTACTTATTGAATCTGATAGACACAATTGATAGAAATTTCATCATTTGATGTATTATTGCATTACAATGTACTGTACAGTACAGGTGTTAAGTTATACCATTTTTAAAAAGTTGCATTTTTATTAATTAGACCATCGAAACATATTTTAAAATTAATTATAAATATTTATAAGTTATTCTTGATTTTAAAAAAAATAATTATTTTTAAATACAGACAATTATATCTGAAATATCCTACTTATAGTTGTTTAATCTGTTTGTTAAAATCTCATCTTATCTGTATTTAGAAGGTAGTAAAGTGATTAACTCGACCCGTGAACGCATTATCAATTGCATACAGAATTTTTCTCGAGTTATTTCATAAATGAGATTGCACTGTCCTGATATATATCACCAAGGATAAAAAAGACCTGTCCTAATATTATCTTAACAACAGATGGATTGGCTACGTGATGCGAAACTCGTAAATCTTTCGAATTATTTAAACTCTATAAAAATATTAAATCGGATAAAAACTCAAATTTAAGGTGTTAAAACAAATCTGTATATATTAAAACTGCTACGTGTCAGTTTTAAAAAAAATCACTTAAAAATTATGCGACTATATTTCACCTGTTCATGAAGATAGAACTACGTCTACACTTAAATTTTATATCAGTATTTAAAGTTTTAATATAATATTGTATAGAAGAGATGATTACAAGTTAATGCTCGTTAAAACTGCTACAACGTGAATGAATAGCAGTAATTCATATTGGTTTAATATTGTATTATTCAACGTAAAGTTTCTACAATATTGTACAACGATTATATTGTAATATTTTAAAGGTTCATAATTTAAATTTTAAAAAAATTTTTTATAGAATTAAAAATATTTCAACATTTATTAAAGAATTTCAATAATAATTTAGAAATGTTCGATTATCTCAAGTACTTTAAAACGTTAATATTTTTCACCGAAATCAAAGATTTAAAGTATTTTAACTTATATATCCTATCATTTAAAATCAAAAAGTGATATTCGAAATTATCAAGCTTAGAATAAAATCTAAGAAATGTTACTCATAATCATTAGACCTTGACTAACATTTTTTTAAAAAAATTCTTGCAATTTATCTATTAAATCGATTTGTCCTTAATATTTTACTTTTACAAATTACCATTGCAAAATTTCAAATTATTTATACAGAATTTACAATTAAAATAATAATAATAATAATAATAAAATGTAAGCAATTTTTATTTTGGTCGATTTAACAAGAATTTGAAGTAATTATAGATCTGTATTTGCTTATGTCTTGCAATTCCTTCATCTAGTATTATTAAATTGGATGTAGGTCAAAGTAGTAAGCTCGTTAATTTGTTATAAGTCTTTCAGTAGTCATATGACACAGGAGATGCACGTGGCTGATTCAGTTTAGATGTTTAAAAGCTGTTTACTGCAGTAAAAAATATAAATTTCTGGTGATAAACAATAAACTCGAAGTTGATAACGTAGCGGGTAAAAATTATTTTATTTTTAAATGTTTCTCTACTGTTAAAAATAGTAAGAAAGATACAGTACATACTGTATACACTGTATATATTATTGTTTTACACTAAAATAAAATAAAAAATAGATCTATTTTTAAATATAAAATATTTATTTCTTGAAAATTGTTTAATTTATAATTTAAAATGTTTAAAATTAATTTTTAATTGGCTTGTTTAAAATTTATAATATAAAAGTTACACTAATATCCAATCAGATGAGTAAGAATTCAAATAATTGAATTCAAGCAGCATATTGGTTAATTTGAAAATTACATTAACACGTGATTGGGTTATTTAAAATATTCAAAAAATAAACACTGATTGATCAATTAGAAATGTTAATTTTTAACTGATCAATCAGTGTTTAAACTTAAATTTTAAATTATTAGTATGGTTACTATTGTACTTTAAAAATATATTTAATTCTATAACAAATTTTGTTATTTTTTAAAGACATTAACAATATATTATTATTTTTTATTTCTGTTTATTATAATCAAAAGCTTATAGAATTTATTAAAGTGAAATTAAGAGTAAAAATAATCAGGGTAAGAGTGAAGAAAGTATTGAAGTAAACATGTTTATTTATTTGATATATAGTCTTAAAGATTACAAATAAATAATCTTCTTAACAAATTATCTCTATGTACAAATTCCTTTAGATCTTTAGCAAAATTTTACGAAATTTTTAATTTTTTTCGAATAATTTATTTTATTAAATATTATAAATTTTTTATGTGTGAACTTTACTTTCAAATGGAAATTTTAATTTTTTTTCTTTTTTATCATTTAAATGGAAATTTAAAATGGATCTAATCTTGGCCTTTCATCAATCATTCAGGTAGAAAGGTCGAAAGATTTTGATAATTTATATATTTTTTAAAATTTTAATTTAATTATTTTGTATATAAAAGTGATAATAATAAATATTACACTATTATTCCTTTCATAAAATATTTTAAAAATAACGTATTAATTTTATATTATTAAACAAAATTTATTTACTTTTTTCCAAGGTAAAAAGAAATTGAATTAAAAATTTTCAAATATTCGAAATTTAAATTAACGTATTTATAGTGAAATCGACCAATCGGAATTTTCGTAAAAGCGACGTCATTAACGGTTTAAATTTACATTTTAAATATTTAATACGAATGATTTTGATTCGTTTAGTTGAATCTGGCTCAGTTTTAATGAATTTTTTATTTAATGAGATGATTTTAAATGCGCAATTTTAAAAATCTGATAAAATTAAAAATAACAACAATAACAATTTAAACTAAAGTCTTATAAGATAATTGCCGAATGTACTTGTAAAATATAAATTTTATTATCATTCTGTCTCGAATTCGAGTCACCGACCCAATATCAGTACACGATAATGTATCAAATCGTCTGAGATTGGGCTGTATCTATATATGTTTTTCAGTTTTTTGGAATTTTATTTTAGCTCATAACAAAAATCCTTATAAGAATACGTTATAATTACTCTTATAAATAATTAACAATATGATTTATTATAGAAAACATTAACGCAACAGTTCTTTACGATAAAATAATAATTTTTCTCATTATCCTGTGGATGCTGAATGGATCTCTCCTCCTCGATGGCATCATCTTAGATGTAGTCTCAGGGAAGAGATGAGGGGGAAGAAAGATTGATAACATCTTAAGAATGCTATCGTAGTATTTCATTTTAGTTTAAAATATCTTTATTATTTGATAAATGTTATAAATCTGATCTCGTGATTACACGTGATAGAATACGTGAAAACTGTTTCTAAGGTTAAAAATTGAAAATGAAACATTTAATGTGAAAAGATAAATGGGGTTTTTTTCTATTAGAATAGTTAAGGGTTAATAAAGATTTACAGAAACACGCAAGAGATCCAGCAATTTCAAAGGACTAGAAACTGGAGGAGCGTACGCAGTCTTTGTATGGATTATTATTATTATTATTATTATTATACTAATGTTTATGTAATTTATTATAAAATTGAAATTGCAATATAGTCACGGACCTAACAGTTCTTCGGGAAGTTAATTTCCTTTTCGCTTTGTGGATGTTAATGCCACGAACCTGTATTGTAGTTGTGTTACGTGTGTGTTTATTGCCCATACATTATTACAATTTAACCTTTAATTGTTATACCGTGCTACTACTAGCAAGTGCAATCGATTGCCCGGAATCCATTTATCTAATAAATTAATTTAGGCCGTCGTATGTACGGATGATCGTAAGTCTGGGAGTGACCTTACATAATTACAATCACGTTACATTACTGATGAAAATGTAATTGAATAGAAATTAGTATCTAACAAATTAGACTTTTTCACGAAAGATTGGAATCCCACATAAAAGGCCGTCCAGAGTGGAGCAGGGGATTTTTCCCTTGGCCAAGAGAAAATTTGGCAGCTCTTAGTGGCTACTACTGCTATAAATTAATGTTATTTTTCCTAACAAAAAAAAATGAAATCTTTAAGACTGCATTTTATCAATAAAGAAACATTCTACGTATTTATTTGTTTAAAAAATGGCAAAAGAGGGGCCCGCTAAGGTGTAAAAGGGACCCTCATTACTCCCGGGCCTCAAACCAGCGCTCGGTCGTAGGGCCAACATAGCAGGCAAGGAATTCTATTGCCTCGATATTTTACCCTATTGTAGGCCGTTAACACCGTTAACAAATTATCAGTGATGGCAAAGTAAAAATTACTTCTTGCGTTTTTATTTGTATAAAGTTTTGGACAAATCGACCTCACTTTCCCCTATAACTAAAAGGTCCCCATATGTCCATGCGCAATCTATTCTATAATATATTAAACTGCTGTAATTATCCGATTTAGAAATTATTATTATTATTATTATATAAATCGTATTTTTCAATCAGGAAACGGGTCACTATATAATAATTACATAATAAAATCTTTTTACAATGCAATGCAGCCTAAATTTGAATTTAAATCCTATCACGTGACACGTGTAATGTTTCTAATTGGTTGTTTCTTATGACAACCGATTTTATTGGCAAATTGTGGCGTTATAAATCTTTATCATTCACTAAGATTACAATTTATATAATTTTTTTTATTACTTTTATCGTAAAAAATGGAATAAAAGGTAAGTTTGATAGGCAAACAATTTTTTTTTTATATTTTAGTCGTTGAAAATTATTAATTAAAGCACTTATACCGTCAAAAACACGAAAAATATAAATGATGTAAAGGAATTTATTATATAGATTAGATTACAGAGATCATATGATTTTAAATATTGAATTTTAGAAACACGAATTTCCTGCAATTAATTATTACGGAAGAAAAATTCTGTATGCAATGATTGTTTAGAAAATTGAAATGAGGATTTTTAAAATGAATACAATATAATTGAATAGAATATAAATGTCGTTATAGAGATAAGCTCATAAGTTATATAACAATATACTAAATACTAGGAAATTTACAATACATATATTAAACTAGATTTTTCCGGTTGCAAACTTTTTCATCTGTATGAGAAATACTTTCAAAAATATAATATTTATAGGGTAATATTATGTTTAAACGTGTTAAAGTGTTTTTAAAATATAATCGTGGCATAGCTCTATTACAATTCAATTATTCCTTATAAAGTTGTTTTTACGCTTTCCGTCCTAAATACACTAAAGGGTCTTTTCCAGGCCCATCGTGGGTTCGATCAGGCCCACTATTGAGCGGCCGAATGGTGAAGATGGGACCAAACGTGTCCGGGACAGACCAGCCCAAAAATTTTCTGGAAGCTACTCTCCCAGATTGGTAGCCCTCGGCCATCAGGCCCCTTCAAAAGCTGGAATGAACGAATGTTTGGTTGGTTTTATTGGTATACGGCAAGACGACACATGGGCGATCTGCAGAAGGGGGAATGCCTTCCGAGAGGTGTTTTATGGGAAACTGAGCTCCTATTCAGGTGTTACTAAAACTCGGAAAACACGTGACCGGGCTGGTTACGTGTTTTCCGAAGGCGTTGGCAAGGCGCGAACCAACGGTATTACCAGTGTTCAGGGCCCACAAGTTGCCAAGCGGTGCCGTTCCCTAAATACTGGGAGTTCGGTCATGGATTCGCGCCTCGCAGGACGGGCTGGCCACGTGGGGTTAGTTTTCCGGATTTTCTCCACGTCTGTAATGCCTGAATAGAGACTAGTTACGCTTAAAAAGACCTCCCGGAAGGCATTCCCCTAGGCCAGTGTTTCTCAACGGGGGCGATATCGCCTCCGTGTGGGCGTTTTTCCATGTTCAGGGGACGATTAGCAACAATTTATATTTTGGGGGGGCGAAAAACAATTTTCTGGGCGATATAGTAAAACATTATATTAAGAACAATTAGATATTTTATTCGTTATATCGTACAATAATTAAACAAATAACGTTATACAGTACTAGTCACTAGTCTATTCAATGCAGTACGAATTTTGCGTTAGCCTTGTCCCTTGGCATCGGAATTTTGTAGTGAAGGGGGCGATACTACGTTGAAAGGGGCGACGATTCGTTAGAGGTTGAGAAGCACTGCCCTAGGCAAATCGCCCATGTGTTGCGTTTCCATAACTTAACTAAACAAACAATAAACTAAACAACCTTAGATCGCGTGTGGGGTATCGAGGACCGAAAGGCGTATTGTAGATGCCCAATAAATTCACTAGTCCCAATATCACTAGTGTGTAAAATCTGTACAAGTTTTATACTAATGATATCGGGATTAGTATAAACAACCTAAGGTCCATAGATCTACGGCTGTGATTTTAAGCAAGATAAAGGCATCGATTACCTTAAGTTAATAAATTTGAATTGAATTAAACGTTGGTTGTAGAATGGGAAAATGATATGAAGTGAAACGTGGCTTAGTAGTATGGCCAATCTTAACGGAATTAAATTCTCGCGTAAGTTAAAACTGTAACTGATTGTAACCAAAAACGAATTCCATTCTTTATACTGTAAATTCTTAACTGAAGAAGCCTGGTTAGTTTAACCCAAAGTATTTTTGTGTTTTTATTAAAATTTCTATTGTTACGGGTAATTTATTAACTGATCTTATCGGCGCGCGTATGAAAATGAATAAATATTAATATCGTAGAAGAAATTAAATATATTTAACAACGAGCAATTATTTATTGTGACATCGTCACAATGTCAAAAATTGATGGTTACCCAGCGTTGTGTAGGTTCTAATTAAATTAATTTTATTGAATTATCAATTATTGAAGTTTTTCCAATTATTTGTTATTATTTTACATATTTCAATTAAGTTTTTGTTAGAGACCCGGCTGTCCCATTGTGGACTTGGCCAAATCCATGATGGACATGATTAAATGTAAAGATCCTCTTACTCGTAGTGCCTACAAGACAAAAAGAGTAGGGGAGAAAAGGCCTGACTACGGCTAGATGTAACCTTTGATTGATTAATCGTCGATGATTGCACAAAACCATCGATAGTTTTCAGGCCATCCACAGCACTACACAGAGCCACAGAACACTACACGTGTCAAAGATTATTAAAGGCGTACGCATGTAAGATTGTGAAGATAGTTGACGCATACATGCATGCACGACACCAATCGTCTACAATTATTTGACATTTTAAAAATACAAATCGGAGTATTATTTTAAAGAAATGAACAAATCGAGGCATATGGCAACCCTATGTTAAAGGTTTTTTGAAATAGATCTTGATTCTCTTCGTGGTCTTAGAGCCTGTACACACTAGGCGTTTTTCAACGCGCGTTTAACACCGAGCTAACGCGCGTTAGCTCGGCGTTCGACGAGCGTTTAGCGGAGCGTGCGCACTGGCTCGGTTTGAAAATGGATGTGGAAGTGATTGCTCCTCTATCGTCGCTATAAAAGACGACGGCAGAGGCAAAGAGAATTTTGGGTGCACCCAATATTACGAGATAGACTGACGCATGAAATGTTTGCGACGTTGTATCCAAAACTAAGACAAAATAAATTCAAGTTTTTTAATTCTTTTAAAATATCTATAAAATCCTTTGACGATGGTTGGTCTCTTTTAGATTTCATCAATAAATGGATCAGTATCGAAATGATCGTTCAGCACA